TGTTGCAGTTTTATGTCTGCTCAGAGGCCTGGAAGGCCTGTACTGTTCAATTTCCCTTTCTGATGATATCTGAAGTTGTCCTTGTTGCAAAACTCACCTGAATGTTAAGACTTAATGAAGTGGACAAAATAGTAGCATTGTGATTCTACTGCTACATGTAGCTATTGCTGTATGCTTATATTCTACATATTTCTTGTTGACTTATGATCATGTATGACCTCAGTTCTGATTGCCTATCATGTATTGTGACTCGTTTGAAAGGCAGTCCAGGCTGAAAAGTGTCTTTTAACTTCAGTGTGAATGGGCAGGGCTAAGCTGCTGTAGGCCGATTAGTTGGATGTATGTAAATGTTTTGGTTTTTGTGATGTCACAAAAACATTAAGGTTAATACTGGACTGGGGAGTGATCATATTATACATATAACTCCTTATCTAAAAAATGTTTTAAATGTTCTGTCTTTATGATGTGGGCCCTTTAAAATGATCAATCAATACTGTGGTGTGGTTAAAGATTGGCCAGCATGTGAAAGATCTGCCTGGTGAGCTGCTGTTTCATGCTTAATCCTCATTCTCACTGTTTGTATTATATCTGAGATATGTCCACAGACATTCAGAGGGTGTTTTCCACCCATTAGCCCACCAATCAGTGGCTGATGGCTTAGACAAGCGTCCTCCAAAAAGGCTGCTGAGAGTAAAATGTCTCCAGAGTGAACGTGCTGTTTTGCTTCCTGTTTTTGCCTGTATCTCGCCGTGGCCTGCTGGAGCTCGCCTCAAGGTTATCTACATCTTCGCAGCCTCCAACCTTTTATCATACTTCTGTTCTTTTTCTTTCTGTCTGTCTGTATGTCTATCGCGCTTTCTCACACTTGCTGTTTTGTGCCCTTTTATAACTTCCATATCATGGTAAACGTTTTCAGATACCACAGAGGCTGTCGGACGGCGGCTATATGCTGTTATGCTTTGGTTACAACCTCTAGTATAGTGTTTAAAATGTGTATGGTGAGCACTTATGTTTATGTAGTATTGGTGTCATGCTTTAAATCAGCTGTTATATCCCTAATCCATTACTATAAATGTTCTCTGTTGCTGTGCTGTGTTTTAGTTTATTAACTACATCTGTGGGTGTAAGACAAAGTGATATTTGCATGTGGCACATTTAGCAATAACATAGAGCTTAAAGTTCGCCCACTTCATCCCTGAAATTAAACTGCAAATTATGGAAAGCAGTTTTTCTCTGGTGTACAAACAGTCTGCTCGGGGAAGACTTCGTTAGATTATGCTTTGGTTCCATCACAAGAACAAATCACCTCTACTTCATTCGAGTCTAAACATTGCTGTTTTGTACTATTGCACATTTATGCAGTTATGACTATGTTGTTTTTAAACAAATCATTCCCTTTGGAACAAAACATCTCAGGACAAGCTTCACACAAGAAAGGGAAAATATTCTTCATTTGAATGTGAATCCTTTGAGATAAAAAGGATTTTCAAATTTTCTGTATAATTCAATGGTTGAAGTGTCATTCAGTCATTCAGAGTGGTTTGATGTGAAATGATTAATTGTAGAGAAACGTAAGACTCAGATTTCATATCACCATAGTGGTGGTGATATGAACCAGAGGCCGTAATGTCTGCAACACCACGTATGGTCATTTTATTTACTATCCAAAAGCATGAATTTACCATGAATTTATATTTTAAAATATTTTGGGCTTTCATATCTATTATAAACAATGTCTCAGGCATCATGCAGCGTATTCTTAACAATTCCATGTAATATCTTCCTGTGAGGGCGCTTTTAGAGGTGTTAAAAACTTGTCTGGTTCCTGTCACCACCACTGTAATACGAATACAGTACGTTTCTTTTGAATGGTGCACTTCATGTCAAACCACTCTGAATGACTTTGCTTACATATTAACCATTTAATTATGCAGGAAATTTTGAAGTAAATGGTGGAAATCCTCTTTGTAGCATGTAGCATGAATATATTCTACATCATTTTAGACCTTTTTTTTTTGGGTACATCATCATGAAATGAACATCCTTCTAATAGCCACTGTGGCTTACAGGTGGAAGCCACCTCTGCAGCATTGCTAAACCCTCGTCCAGTTTGTGTGGGCTTAATTTTAGAGGAGTCAGCTAAGTCAGTGCTGATGAAATGAGAAATTAAGGGAAAATACGAAAAAAAAAGAGTGTTTGTTTTCTGCTGTCGAATTGCTGACAGAGTTTCAGTACCACAGGTATTCCCTTATTCCGTGTGCAGTACCCCTCTCTAATGCCTGCCCATGGCCATTTTGGAAACTGTGAATGTGTCCTCCATCAAGAGCCACGTTATGTGCACATGAGTGAGGAGCTCTGAGCCCGAGTGGTTCTTTTAAATGTAGGGCAGTCTTGTGCTAAAGCTGGTGTTTTCCTTGCTGGTGCTCTGACCTGAATCAGTTTTTCCTCTCCCCCGTTACAATGCGCTCTTATTTAGAATGATAGCAGAGGACTCGGGTTGAGTTATACGTAGTCTTGGTTGGGTGGAATCTGTGGACTGGAATTGTGTGTAAACTGGATTGAGGCTCTTAGCATTAGCCTACGTTTGCTCAGATCAGAGCTGAGAGAAATAATAATTTTTTTATTAATGACTAAATTGTGGTTGTCTTTTTAACATAATAGGAAAAAGCTTTTTAGAAACATTTCCACACATCGTCCATATTATGTGTCTGCAGTATGGATACCTTTAGTTATAATAATAATAATAATAATAATAACAACAACAATAATAACAATAATATTAATATTGTATAATATTAATATTAATTATAATATAATAATGTGTTTTAATTGTAATGCATCTTTTATTTAAGTATAAATCTCAAGGTGCTGTTAACAATGAAAGCACAATATTCAAGCAAAACATTTAATAAAAACAATATTTTGGGAAAAAGCAAAAACACCATAGCATTTAAGAACATTTAGGAAAAAGGCCAAATAAAATAACAGCAAATAAATATGTTTATTTTTGCAATTAATGGATTAGTCTTTCATTTTCAATTTAAATATTTCTTGATGAAATGGCAGTAACTTGTCATTCTGCATGATCATGCGTATTTTAAATTCTTTTAATGAATTTTTATTGCATTTTAAGGGCTACCTATTTTATTTTATTTTTTTCCCCAATTAGATATTTTGTAAGGCTATTGGTGGTTATACAATTGTTCAGTTAACTCCATTTATATTGTTTATTCTTTTTCTAAAACATTATCATGAATAATTTTTCAAGTTTTTGCTTACTGGTATTTGATAATGATAACCCTACCTTTGATACGCTAGTACAAAAATTTCTTACTTATGGCAACAATATTAAGTGTCTGCAATGTAGCTAGAATAGTGAGTGAACTGCAAATTCTGACGAATGGTCACTACTTGACTGGCTACATTTAGGCAGGCGCATTGGTGCTGTATATCTTAGGTAATGTGGGTTCAGTAATCAAGTCAAATTTCAGGCTGTGCAAATTTGTCACTAATCTAAATCCCGGTTCAAGCAGGGACTTAATGGCTTTTCTGGGTAAATGAGAGGGGATTTTGTCCTGATATTAATGGGATAGGCTACTCTCTGTTCTCAGTAAATGAGATTTATAGAAAATATTTTGTTTAATCTTTATACTACTGTAATTAATCAAATAGAAAGCAAATTCAACCTTTATTTTTTTGCAGACCTCTTTCTGGTGATTTACTTTACATTTTGCATTAAATAAACAGGGAGCTCTGAGATTGGCTGCAGTTGTTATTGCTTAGAAATGTGGCTACATTGTAGAATCTTAATTTGATGCTGAATTCAAAACACTTGGTGGTGGTTGTTTCCAGCTAGTTTTGGTTGATAACTCTGTTTGAACCTTCAGTACCTGTTGCTGCTGGTTCTTTGACTTTTTTACTGCAGGAGGCCTGAAGCAAAAGCTCTTCAGAACCCATCAAACCTTGGCAGAGGCGCCACCTTTACTCCAAATCTCAGAAAAACAGCTGGCTTTCTCGTTCGCTCACAATGCCACTGGCGCCTCTGGCAAAACCAAAACAGTCCTCTCAAATGACTGTGGTGGATTTGTTGTGGCTTCGGCTACACTTTGATGGCTAAATCTTTAAGTCTATTTAAATCTTTAGGTCTGTTTCCTCGTTGGACGTTGTAACACCCAAAGAACACGGACTGGAAACTACTGCAGTAAAAGTAGCTGAATTCATGAATTATAGGGTGTACGCGTAGTAGACATGGGACTTTTTTTTTTTCCTAAGTAGCGGTACTCATGTTGCAACCCTGAGTATTAGCTGACACTTATAAAGATCAGATATTGGATGGGATTCATTCCTCTCTGTTTCACCATTTTCTGCTGATATCATCCTGATATGATGCCTCGTGTCAGATTGTTGCCATCTCAAAAAATATAAAATTGCCATCTTTAAAATTATAGTTGCTGAGTTGAAGTTGCCCAAATATGACACAAAACTATGTAAACACAAATCTAATCAGTCAAATCAGATTTGAGTCTTTTTCATATGTACTCTTAAATTGGACACATTTGATAACTGTCAGTTCTGGTTTTTCTTGTTTTTAATCGTTCTCTGCACATGCAAATATCACTGTAGTAATCACCCAGTGTTGGCAGCAGCTTTAACTCAATAACAAAGTGCGCACCTGCGGGTGATTTCAGGGCAGCAGTCTGTTCACACTAATGGCACAAACACAAATGTGAATTTTAAAGGCTGAAGCACGGGAATGCACAGATATGGGAATTGTGGGCTGATATTTTCATGTACCAATCTAAACATCTGTCCAGTACTTACATTTTTTGTAAAGCAATTGTCTACTTATATGGATGTAATTCCAGTATCACTATACATCCCTACCGAAAAATTAGATCTGACAAAAAAAATCACAATTGAGCAAAAAGTTAATGTGTTGGGTGATATTTTAATGTGAGCTTGTGGCCTTACTGTCTTTCTCTCTACCTTTTCTTCTCCAGTGTGTCCGAAAGAGTGCGGGCAGCGGGCGTGCACAGCCAACAACGAGTGCTGCCACCCTCAGTGCCTGGGCAGCTGCACAGTGCCTAACAGTGACAGGGCCTGTGCTGCCTGCCAGCACTACTACCATGAGGGCAGCTGCGTGCAGGACTGCCCCGCAGACACCTACAAGTTTGAGGGCTGGCGCTGCATCACCATGGACCTGTGCTCCAGAGTCCACCTGCCCGACTACGACCGCTTCGTCATCCACGGAGGAGAGTGCATGGCGGACTGCCCGCCAGGATTCACCCGCAATGAGAGCCAGAGGTACGAAGACTGGTTACACGACACATAGGGACAGGCGATACGATGTCATTATTACAGTGAAGTACATCACAGAAACTGAGCCACAGTTGCTTTTGTTTGGCCTGGCATGAGCTCCCCTATTATAGGGACTTGTAGGTTATGTCCAATATGATTCCTTCATTTCCATAAGAAACTCCGGCCATCGGCGAACAGAGAAGTCCGGTTTGGCAGAGTGCAGCAACCAAAAGTGCAAGTGGAGAAATACCATTATAAATACCATACTGTTTAAGCCCAGACTGCTTTTAAATGAGACACAATATGGGGCAGCCAGTCAGAACAGAGGTCATTTAGATACGTCAGTCTTAAGGGCACAGTAACGAAAGCAAAAAAAGAAAGGTTAGAAAATTGTCATTTTAAAATGAGTTATAAACATGTCCAGTGCTATTGATAAGCGAGCAGTGTTTTTCATTCATACATGCAAAATAACAAATGGATTTTTCATAAAGTCTGAAATGCGAGCCAGAATAGCGATACCTATCAGTACAGATATGCTATCTCTAGGTACACTGGCTCTCTTCCAGCTTGTTCCAGAGCTCTAAATATCATAATACACACAGTGAAAATGTCTTTAAATATTGTAGTATTACATTTTTGCCATATCACCCACCCCTAGAGAGACATTGTACATTGTTGGTCAAATTAACACTGACAGCAAGGCCTGGTGCCAAGACGCTAGCCTTTGGTCTTTGAGCCAGTGGCCTTTTGAAATGAGCTGGTAGGCTAATCCATAGCTGTCTCCAGTTATTTTAATCTCTACACGCAGTTGCCACATGATCGGAAGATCAGTTGGCTCAGCCCATGTCCTGCCAGCTCGTTTAGGAACACTCTGGCATTAGGACTGAACGTTGATGCGCGCTTGCTGACGTTCTGCTGTGGTTGTAAGCACTCGCACTGTGAACCTGAAGTAGGTTAGTCCAATAAAGCGCTAGTGGCCTGGGAATGCAGCAAGCTTGCAGTATACAGGTCGTGTGCTAAGCCAGGAATAGCTATTTGTAATTCAATAAGCCTATTAAGAGGAATTTTGTAGACCACTCTCCATAACATCGCCTCTTCTGCGGAGGGTTGTGGCGTTTAAATCTATTAACAAGCATTTTAATCTGTGGATGAGGTTGAAGACTTGAATACATGTAGTACTCTAAAAGATTAATTTCTAACTTTTCACTTGGTGGGGAAATAGAGAAATATTAGACTGATAGCAGTGTGTTAGATTTCTTTACCATAAAATGTAAAAGTTTTCAACAGTTATATTTAAGCAAGTTGAACTGCATTGTTTGTGTTGAACCAAAAGATAAATACTGAAATGTATTGATGTAGTTATTTCTGTGCTGAATTTCTCCCTCTCTTTCTGTGTTGCAGCATGTTCTGCAGTGCCTGTGATGGCTTATGTGACAAGATCTGCGATGGAAAAGTGATTGACTCTGTAGATTCTGCACAGTCGCTAAAGGGCTGCACTGTTATTAAAGGCAACCTGCACATCAACATCCGCCGTGGCAGTGAGTAACCAAAGCCCAAAGCCTCTCTCACTAGTCTGATGCAGGTAGCACGATTGGCCAATATATTATTTTGACTTTGGCCAATTTTGGCTGTGAATTGATGAGTTTAAAATACCAGCTGCCAATTAAAGAGCCAGTAGTTTATTTTGTTGTAATCTTGGGTAATGAAAATAACTGGTACTAGTGTTTTTTGGCCCACACTTTGTGAGCATCAGGAAAAAAGGGAAAAAATAGGTAATAAAAATTGGCCAAAGAAATCAGTTGTTGGTCACTTTGGCTGTAAAGAAATCTGGGCAAAAAAAAGAACTTGTGGTCAAACAAATATACAAGAGGCCATGCTTTTTATGAATTGCACACACACACAAACAGCCAATCAGATTTTCATACCTAAAGTAAATGATTTACAAACGATCAGTTTCCCCTTGTTGTACTTTGACACTCAGTATGTTACTTTTTCCCACCTGCATCCACCTCTCTCTCATACATTTAGATAACATAGCATCTGAGCTGGAGAACTTCCTAGGCCTCATCAAGACAGTGACTGGATATGTGAGGATTCGTCATTCTCACACTCTGGGCTCGCTGTCCTTCCTCAAGAGCCTTCGTTATATCAACGGAGAGGAGCTCTATGACGAGTGAGTGTTTGTAGCAATGAGTTGTGTTGATTGCAGTTGATTCACATTAGCTACAATCTGCACATGAATGATCCTTGCCTATATAATAGCCTTTATCTGTCCACATTACTTTTAACCTTTTAATCAGGAGTAATTTGACAGTACCAGCTCACTACTTCAAAGCAGCGTCTAGTTTCTATTGTGAACTTTTAAGGCTGCGTTTGTGGACGTGGTTTAAGCCTAGGCTAACTTACAACGCCAGTGATATTCCACTGTTCAACCTCCTATTTTGTTTATGGTTAGTGACCAAAGTACCTAAAACCCAAAACATCTTTTGCTAGACTCATGCAGGTAGCACAGAGATGCAGTTGGCAATCAGCCAATTTATTATTTTGAAATTGGTGTTTTTTTTAGGCTTAATCTGGATTTGGGAAACTTTAAAGTCTTAGCTGTCAAAGCCCAGCCTGGTCTTAAACATGCTGACTTTTCTGTATAACTTTCAAAGGATATATCAGATTAAATTTTACATGGAAAAATCAAATTCACAAGGTGACATGAGTCACTACACAGTGGAAAGTTTTCAGTGTTATTCAAGTTCAGCAAAAGGCTTTCTGTCTCCTGCAGTTCCTAAAGCATGTTGTTTGTGCAGGTTAAGCATTCACATTTTAAACGTAGCTATTTGCTGAAACTGTTTGTTTCTGCTGTTCTACGTCACTGTGGTGCGTCTCTTAATTCTGCAGTATGTATTCCTCCGCTGGGCAGCTCAGCAACGCGACGTTCCAGCCGTAGGCAAATGCTGAAGCATCATAACATTAGTGTCTTTTTCACCTCCCTTCCTGCAGACTGTATGCCTTCTCTGCGGTGGATAACCAGCACCTCCAGTTTCTGTGGGACTGGTCACAGCACAATCTGACCATCTATACAGGGAAGCTCTTCTTCCGATTCAACCACAAGCTGTGCATGTCTGAGATTCGCAAGATGTGGCTGAATACAGGCATCAAGGAGAAGTTCGTTGAAGAAGACTTCCGGAATAATGGAGACCGTGCAAGCTGTAAGTGCTTGCTTGCTTACTTGCTTACTTAATCACTTACTTATTTAATCACTTACTTACTCACTTACTCATGAACTGCTATACTCGCTTCTTACTCACATACATGCTCACTTATTAACTTAGTCACTTATGACCATACCTGCTTACTCACTTACCGCCTTGCTCACTTACATCCTGTCTTGTTCAGTTTTTACTCACTCGCTACCATACTCACTTATTCACTCGCTGCCTTATTCTCTTATCTTACTCACATACATACTTATTTACTACTTTACTCACTAAATTAGCAACTTACTGTCTTTCTTACAGATTCATTTACTGCCTCACCATTTTCTGTGTTACTCACTTATCTTACTTTCTTACTTGCTTGCTTACTTAGAACCTTACTTGCTTACTGCCTTAGTCATTCACTCGCTGTCTTATTTTTGCTGTACCTTACTGACTGACCTTACTTACGTACTCTTTTATTAGCTTGCTCCTTAACTCACTTTCTCCCTTACTCACTCTTACTCAGTAACTCCCTTATTCACTTACTACATTACTGCCTGCAGACTGGCTTACTCACTTGTTGCCTTGTTGCTCATTCACTTAATCACTTACTACTTTACCCACCTACTCACTTACTCACTTAACCTGCCTACTCACTCACTACCTTACTCATTCACTGCCTTATGCATTTTCTACCATACTGACTTAATCACCTGTAGCTTTACTCACTTTATTCCTTACTCACTTACTGTATTTCACACTTGATACCTTTCTCACTTGCTACTTTACTCACTCACTACCTTACTCACTTACCATTCATACTCATTTATCACCTTACTCCCTTAACTTGCCTGCTCATGTACTGATTTACTTACTTTTTAAACAACATTCACTATTTGAATATACAATAATAGCCATTGATTACTTATGGCTTTGCTGATATAGAATTAGTTACATTTGTTAAGAAATGTCATTTTTATCCCCCCCCAGGTGAAAGCAAAATCCTGAAGTTCATCAACAATAGCACTCGGAGTAACATGATAACATTGATGTGGGAGCGTTATCGACCGCCAGACTACAGGGACCTTGTCAGTTTTGTAGTGTACTACAAAGAAGCGTAAGTCTTCTGGTTCTGCTTTCCTTAGACACCAGACATAATGTTCAGCATTAAACAGCTTAGAGAAAATAACTTTACATTTAGTAACCTGGGAATAGCTCTAGTATCAACATGAAACAGTACTGAAATGCACATTGGCTTTACATCTACCTGAAGTACTGACTCTTACATTGTGTGACAGGCCTTTTCAGAACATCACCGAGTTTGATGGTCAGGATGGCTGTGGATCCAATAGTTGGATGACGGTAGATGTGGACTTGCCCCAGGACGAAAACAAAAACCCTGAAATCCACCTGTCTGGCCTCAAGCCCTGGACACAGTATGCCATCTTTGTGAAGGCTGTCACATTGGTGGTGGAGGACAAAGACAGACACATTCTCGGGGCTAAGAGTGAGTTGGTGTACATTCAGACGAAGCCTTCAGGTAAGGAATGAAGCTCAAGCTCAAACCAGAGAGAAATAGTTCTCTCTAAAAATCTTTAGTTTTAAAACCATTTCCCCCTTTTCCATTAGCACCCACAATGCCTGTCGAGGTCCGCGCCTACTCTAACTGGTCCACAAGTCTGGTAGTCCGATGGTCTCCTCCTGTGTCTCCTAATGGGAATCACACCTACTATCTACTTCGTTGGCAACAGCAGGGGGAAGACCGTGAACTCTACCAACACAACTACTGTTCCAAAGGTTTGTGCTGAGAAGATACTTTCTGACTTGGAGTTGTTCTGTCTTGTTTAGTGTAATTTAAAGTATTGTAAGCCTGGGCAATATGGCCAAAAATATTATCACAATATATTTTTACATATTATTTGATGCTGATAATTATCAGTAATTTTGTTATGTTAATTTATAAGCCTGAAGAATATTTTGTGACAGAAGAAAACAAAAACTTGAACTAGTTTCACACTGCAGAAGACTCATAGCCTATTTGTCTACAGCCTCCTTTTCTTTAGAGATGTTTTTTTTAAACTCACTACCTTTTCAACTCTTCATAATTCCAGGACTGACAACAGCAACTGTCATGCTGAATGACTAGATGATAGTTTGCTCTCCATCTATCGAGTAGAAGACGCTCGTTGCCACCTAGTGTACTGGAATGGCTGCTGGTCATAGATTAGGCCTTCGATGCTAATACTGGATTGAGGAACATGACAGCAAAACATTTTCTCAAATGCATTTTATCAGTATGGAAAAAAGTTTGATTTCATTATCATTATCATATAATCGTTTTGTCACTGAGCTTTGTAGTTTAGCTTGTGTAGTTCATCATCTTTGCTGCAAGTCAGTTACTGTAAAGAACTTTGTTTTCTCAGTGTAATTTTGATCTTATATTGTTCTTGTTGTTAATCCTTCTATTAAAATGTAATTAGATTGTAAAATGAGTCTTGTACTTAGTTTCACATGGAACTTTTTTTTTTCTTCGCTGTTCCCTCACAGAACTAAAAATTCCCATCAGGATGCCAGCCACAGGGGTAATGGACATCACAGAGGACACGATGCCCACCAATCCAGACTCAGTGGGACGAGACAAAACCCCTTGCTGTCCATGCCCCAAGACGGAAAAGGAGCTGAAACGGATAGATGATGACACTTACTACCGCAAAGCATTCGAGAACTTCCTCCACAATTCCATCTTCAAGCCCAGGTAAAGACGTGACAGTTCCATTTAACGTCATGGCTTTAGTCGCCTTGGATTTGGCCTCAGACTCAAGGCCAGTGGAGCTAAAGCTATCACGACTGCCTTCCCCTTTTGTTCCCACCCACACAACGCAACCTTGGGATGCCGTGCTTAGATGCGTCATTTGGCTGATTTTCCTTGGCTTTGAAACAGTGTTGAGAGGCTTCATGTAGACTAAATGTAGTAAGAACTGCAGTGTGAAAACAGGCTTTATCTTTGGTTTAACTCAAGCTTTTTAATGGCTATTTGTTTCTTGTGTGAGCACACGTTTGTGAACATTTTTCCCTAGTGCACATTTAGTAATTGCCTCCTTCGATCCTGAAGCCTGACCTGTGGCATCTCGGGGGTGAAGTAGAGCAGAGAGGCATGTTAAATGAATAGAGGATTCAGAGCCTTGAGTGTTCTGTCTGATCTGAAAAGTGTAACACATTGAGTGTTCTGTGCTGCACTAAGAAAGCACATCTGTGTCTCATTACCTGCCTGCTTTGTATAGGCTGGTGGATGCAGCACACGGACATAGACAGATGCTCTTCATTGAATTAGCCTTTACAGAACACAGGGTTACAGTCTTGTTGCTGCTTAAACAAACACAGATTCATTATTTTGAAACACTTTTTGCTGTTTGCTTTTGTTTTCCTACATTTTCAATGAAAGTTAAAAAATAGAAAGCAAAAGGAAATATTTTTTGAGTGTAAAATTAGGTTAAGAAAATTCTTACATTTAGGTGGCTGTAGTGCAGTGGTCATCAACCCTGGTCATGAAGATCTACCTTCCTGTGGACTACAGTTCAAACCACAATCTGCCGCACCTGCACCATCTAATTAAATTTTTCTGAAGGCCTTCATTGGCTAGATCAGGTGCACTAGAGTAGGTATGGTGGAGGAGACTGCATGTTAGATGCAGTTTGGAACTAAACTAACCTGGAAAGTAGATCTCCAGGAGGAGGGTTGGTGACCACTTCCGTAATAGGTTTCATTTATCTGAAATAGTAATTTTAATGTTTATTTTTATTTGTGTTAGGCATTTCAGGCAAATTTTGTCTGGCATTATTTTAAAGGCACATGGACTTGCTTTACACATTACAAAAACAATCTGGTTTCCACCGTAAGACACAGGCCCTCTGGTGGAGTATAGAGTTCAGACATCTCATGGTTCTTATGAGAATGTATAATATTAGAGAGAAGATAATTAATGATCAAATTTTTGTGTTCACACATTGTAAAGGGCTACTTGTATTTTAAAATGGTGTAAAAAAAATAATAATAAATTGAGTTGCTATATTTTGGAGTGATAAGTTAACACATCTACAGAGGACACACTTCTGCACATTTTAATGCACAGTTACTGTTTATTTGCTGAACTTAACATGTTGGGAAAACATTTTCAAATAAAATGTGACCTATGCAAAAGTAATGGCACATTTTATATATTTTTTTTTTTTTTTCCCAGTGTGCTAGACAAACTAGACATTTCACATTAAAATTGCAAAAAAACCCACAATTAAAATGCTGTTTGCTTATTTTCACTTAAAAAGATCAACAAAATGTATGTAATTTGACCGAGGATATTCAAAATTTTGCATGCAGCTTTATGGACACAGCCTCACGTTCTGTCTAGGTGTAAACATGTTTGTGTGTCTATAGATGTCCATTTTCTTTCATTCTCTTGACGTTAAACCTAATGTTACTTTAGAGGCTTCTTGTTGAAGTGAATAAGTGTGATCCAGCTGCCTCTCTGGCCTACTTTTAAAGCAGAGCAGGAACAAAATGACTTCAGGACACAGAAATGGCACCCAGTCTCCACCCTGCATTGTTCTGCGGCGGATCGTCTTGTGCCTGTCTCGCCTTTTTGCCTTTTTCTCAGCATTTTTGTCATTGTCTGGCTGTCAGAGAGAAGCACTGGTGCCAGACTCATGACAGGCAAGTGAAAAATATGTCTGTAGCTGTGCTAGCAGCTAGGACAATGTGTGTTGTTTTTTTTTTTTTCTTTTATTCTTTTTTTTCTCTAATTGAACACTGAAATATTGAGTACACAGAGTTTCCTCGAAGTTCAGAATTTCTCTGAGAGAGAGAGAGAGCAAGAAGAGAGAGAGCGCAGAGGAAATCATATTCATTCAGCTGCAGTTTCCTTGCTAAACAGCTCGGGCTGGACCGGCTGCCAGGAAATGCGCAGTAATGCCATCTGGAATACCGATGAAATAAAGGGAATATCCCCTCCAGCCGGAGAGCGGGCCGGATCAATGACTGCCGCTCCGCAGGCAGGGGGCCAGCTGGGGAGAGAGAAAAAGAGAGAGAAAAAGAGAGAGGGTCTGAGACAGAGAGAGAAAGATAGGAAGATGTTTTGTGGAAATGCGAGGGGGGTGAGAGATGGGAGATGGGAGGAGGAAGAAGGGAAAAAATTGAGAGCGTATGTTTAGGCCTGAGAGAGAGAGAGAGAGAGAGAGCAAAGTGACTCAAACTAATTAAGAGAGAAAAGGATTGAAAGTGGCTCATCTCTCATTAGCAGAAGCACACGGATGTCTATTATGGGGAGAGGTAAATCTTTACAGTAGAGGTAAATCTTTGATATAAACGCCTAAATGACGCATAAATTTGCTTTACTCAGACACTGTGGCTGGTGACCCAACATAAGATCAGCTTAGACTGGTGCATATGTTAAGAACAAAATGCATGCTAGAGGGACCATTCAGAAATCCTGATGCAGCAAGAATTCTGCACATTTAGCTATAACTAACTTAGCTGTCATTCTGATTTAGGCCTAGTTAGTTAAACCTGCCTTTGTGGATTCATTCATGACATAGCGGTTGATACTTCATGTCAAAATTAATGTAATTATCTACTGAATCCACTGAGAACACAGAATTACATTTGTTTTGCTAACACTTCACTCACAACTTCACACGCGTTCAGCAAGAATGCCAGTTCTATCACAGTAAGAGTCCCATATAACTCTGCTGTTAAATGCAAGTTTACTGGATTTAATCGAACACTATGTATTTATTCAACTACTGCTGGTACTAATAATAAGACAAATAAGTATAATTTTTATTAGTAGTAGTAGTTGGGGTTTGTTATGACAGAACAATTGCTAATTATCTGACTGCACTGCTCTCAAGTGAGTGTGTGTATGTATAAGGACCTGAAATTCATTTTGCAATGAAATGTTGCACATAGGCGAAACATTGTTTCACATAGGGGGGATTTATACACTTTGGGGGGGATACTACTTGTGAGCTTAACTATAGATCTTACCTTGTCCCGTTCATTTTGAAAGCTTTTTAAAAGGACACTCCATCTCTTTCACAAATTTAACCACATGACCAAATTTCAAATTAGCCAATTTGTTTTCTGCAATAAAGTAGGCATTTTTGAGAAACGTCTTCGTTTCCTCCTCCCACTGCCTACTGTGCAACTTCAATAGCATTAGCCATCACGTTCTTAGCCGAATCTCCTGCATGCTTTCTTTTCAAGGCTGCCATATGAGCAATGCTATCTGAGTGGCACCTTAAAGTTGACGTTTTGTGACATCAGCTGGTAAAAGGCGCAGCACCGTACATTTTACAAATCGAGCAGCTCATTTCACTGTTGTTAAGTTTGAGTCACGGATATATTATGAGCCACTTAGTCTGAAACGGGTTCCACCTCAGATGATGTAGATAGAGGGAGAGAGTGTGTTGTCCAGTGCGGAATATGGTCCGTTCGGCCAGTCGTCCCGCATTCCACACTGGTGCAAATGTTGGCTGAACATTATTAAACATCGTTGTAAATGTCTGTGGGAATTTCCCCGCATTGTAAGTGTTAGATTTGTGGGAATCGATGAAATTATGCGCAATACCCTCAATCCTGCATTGAAATTCAGGCCCTGTATATCATGTCATTAAAATTCATACTTGGGCTGAGGCTTCCACAAATAAAAAAACAGACAATTGAGGCAATTGATTGTTTCTCTGCATTTTTTTCAATGGTTGACCCTTGGAGAAGACCGCTTCTCTATTGGCCCCCAGATAATTCAAGTCTGAGAGACCTCTGCTGTAAGGAGTGCAGGGGACAATACCACCATATAGCCACTACAAAAGAAGAAATGAGAAGTAGTACAGTCAAAACTTTGAAAGATAGTGGTGCTGAAATTGGGCAAATGAGACAAAACTTCAGAAGGTGTAATGATTCAGTTAGTCGATTAATGATGAGTGTAGCTTAATCGATTAATCGATGCTGCCTTCGTCTGTGTCAGGCATGCTGGTTATGGCCGGTTTAGCCCCACAGTGTTCCAGTGTGATAGAGTCTGGAGGAATGGGGACCAGCTGTGGTGGGATGTGTTTGTGTGTATGGAAGGCGGGCTTGAGGGGGTGGGGGGAGTAAGGGAGGGGGATTGTAGCGTCCTTGCCAGATCATCTGAGGACAGTCCGTGCTTGCTTTGGCAACCAATTGTGTGACTCGCTCCCATGGGGAGGCTTAGAACAGGCAGGCGGCTGTCGCTCCTCGCCCCCAGCCCCTCCACACTCACTCAGGCACAGATTCCTCCCTTACCCCCCCTGTCTTTTATGAGGCTGCTCCAAGTGTGCAAAATTTACAGTTTTACAATGGACATTGTAAGCATTTTTGCTGTTCGAATTGAGGATGTCCTAACAAACCCTGATTTCCCCCGATATCAATCCAAGTTCTTGGTTGAGTGTAATAGTGAGTATCTGGCGTTACCAAGTCTGATCTGATATTTTCATAGATACACAGTGCACACTTCACTCCAACTCTTGGAGGTTAAAACCGTAGAGTTTTTGAAAATATATTTCTATATTTTATATTTGTCTTATTTTATTAGTTGCCTAAAATATTTAATTAGTTAAGCATTAAAAAGGCAACCACTGTTGCCATTAATTTACATTAGTAAGTTATCCAGACCTTAGAAAAATATCTCTTCCGTAGAGGTTTGCGTTACTTTAAGTTGTACTGTTTGAAAAACTCTGTTAGATGTCAAATGCTACACCAGTTTCCAGTCTAGGCTTTTGTGCTCTAGTCTAGATTTAAAGACCTCTGTACTAGACTGTTATACCACGGGTTGATTAATATCTTACAAGTGCTGATGTTCACTTAGGGTGCTTGTTCTTTTTAAGTTTTTATTTTAAGTACAATTTTTATTTTGCATTTATTTATGTAAAACACTAAATTTGCCCTTGTGAATGACGTGATATATAAATAAATTTGTCTTGGCTTAGTGAAACCAATCCAGCTTCAAGTTATGCTAGATTTAGTTACCTTAACTTGGAAGTTTAACATGTAGATTAGCATAAACGTTGATCTAATCATACTCTTAACGTTCTGATGTGTATATATATATATTTTTTTTTAGAAGTATGTGATTTAACACCCTTTACACAATCGACAGTTCATTGTGGTTCTATGTCAAATCTGTCAAAAACTGCATCTGTTCATGTATTCATATATTAAATTTAATTTGTCACACAAAAGGAAAAGTAAATGAATAATAAAGCTCTGCATGAGGAGGATTAGTTTTACCTGGGAAGGTACTGAAGTTTAAGTGATTACCAAAAACATGTGTGAATTTTAATTCAGTTTTAATCATAAATGTCCATAGTTTTCTACAGTCCGACAGTTCTGTATGGTCCTGTATGGACATTTTATAACATATGTCTTTTCTCTCACATGAATCGGCCACTCAGACCTCACATTTCATTATAGAACTCCCTCCTAAAACTAAAACAGCTTGAACAGGGCTGAAGATGAATTCAAATATCTGTGTATTTGAATAAACATACTCATTCTTGAAGAAAAGGCATTCTTGATTGCACCTGAAGCTCCTCAGCTTCTAATCTAAATTCTCATCCCGCTCCTTCCCTCTTCAGGCCTCATGACCGACGGAGGAGGGACCTGTTTGGTGTGGCCAATGCCACGTTCATCCACACCCTGCTGGGGCCTAATGGTAGCTTATCAGAGGGCAACTTCTCCCACCCGGAGCATCCCAGGTGGGAATTCTCCTTCTTTGAGAGGAAGGTGAAGGAGAGGAACGCTGATATAAGTGACTTGCAGCCCTTCACAGTCTACCGCATCGACCTGCATGCCTGCAACGAGGAGGTCCAGCAGTGCAGCGCCCCCTCCTTCGTCTTCTCCAGGACCAAACCGGCTGGTGAGAGGAGCAACAGGACCAGCAAAAGAACATTTCAGTTGCAGTGTGTGTAAATTGTTTAGAAAGTCTGTGTGAGCACGTTTTTTTTTTTTGCATTCTGTCTTCTAGACAAAGCAGATGACATTCCTGGCCCAGTGACGTGGGAAGGTCAGGAGGACACGGTCATTCTGAAGTGGCCAGAGCCAGTCAGGCCCAACGGCCTCATCCTGCTCTACGAGATCCAGTTCCGCCTGGGCGCCGAGGTGGTCCTTTCTTGCATTTCTGTCATTGTAGCAGCCATTACACCTGTAGCTGCACTAGTTTTTGGTTTGTGATCGGCATTTGTCACAGACACTGATGAGTGTACTTATTGGGATGTTGGTAGCTGAGGAATAGTAATACAGTGATAGTTTTAAAGATCAAATGTTTCAAACACTTCTATATTTTGATTCCAGTCAGCATGCAATATTTACCTCTTGTCAGAGATTTGGCTCTTTTTAATTATGTATCTATGCCATCACTGCTATAAAAAAAAAAGTCAAATCTCTAGAACTTTTCACCAGAGAAGACAATAATGTTCTTAATGTTAATGTTACAAAATTTGGTCCCACTTTGTATTGTCATTAATAACTGTGTAGTTATACATTAACTACACATGCAACAATGTAACTACTGGTTGTGTATTAATTGTTGTTGATGGATTACAGTAGTAAAGCATATCTACATACACGTGTATCAGCTTCACTTTTCTCATGTAATTACACAAGTTTATCTTGTAACAGCATGTTTTCTGTTATGTCGACGGGTAATAGGGTGAGTGTAACTAAATTTCTGTTAAGTGCTGTTTTTCTTAAGACTTTTCTGATTTTAAGAATCAGAAGTTCGAAAAAAATCATCACTGACTGTTAATTCACACTGATGCACAAGTAGTAATGGTACATTTGTGCACTCATGAAGAACTATACTAGTGAAAGCAGTAAAGCTATAGCAACACATCAATTAAAGTATGTTGATAATAAAAAGTAGTTAGTAGTGAATCATGTTATCGATTAGCTGCCATGTCTAAAATGGCTGATGACCAGGCTGTTTCTGTGTGGTCAGTAATATCAGGTTTGATTGCACAGAAATTAATTCATTTAACTTGGCTTTCGTTTCAGAGGGCAATAATTAGTTTCTTTGCTGTTTTGCCATTTTTGTAGAGTTAAAAAAAAGAGGTTTTAAGAGCAATGCAAATGTATTTTTCCTTTTTTTTTAAAATAAAACCTTATGTGATGTCATACTTTTAATGTTAATTACTGACAAATGAATGTAAATGCATTTTTTCCCAGTTAATTGATTGATTTAAATCATAATGTACTGATTAATTGATTAGTCTTATAATTGACCTTGTTGTGTTTCAGCTGGAGAAGCATGAGTGTGTGTCACGTCAGCACTATAAGGAGCACCGAGGTGTGCGGCTCACAAACTTGGGGCCAGGGAACTACTCGGCCCGTGTGCGGGCCACTTCGCTGGCAGGGAACGGCTCATGGACGGAACCCATAGCTTTCTATGTGCCACAGCTTGAACGTGAGTACCTTCCACTGCTGTTACTGAAAATGACTGCCAGCCTGGCTTATAAATGCTTTTGTAAATAGCATGCACATTTTGTGGTGTAATTACCCATAATTAACTTTTGGTAAATTGTAATGAGGGATTTAAAACAGTACAGAGAACAATAATTGATCTTAACAGAGCATAACTGAAAGCAGGATTTTTTTATGTTAAATGTTTTAAAGTTTGTCAATTTTAAAAAGTGGTTAACCAATTAACCACATTTATTATTTTGTTCTGGATCTTTCTCACAGAATCAAAACATTCTCTTCATTTGAGTTTATTATATACAGGAACAGTAGTTTTTGTTGTTCCTGCTTTGGTGTTCTTGCTGATCTCTCCAGTTAGTAACCTGTTACAACAAAATAAAAGAACAGTGTACCAGAAATGGACCTGATAAAAAGTAACAAAGAGTGTATATACAAGATGTACCGAGGCTATGTTCACATTACAAGGCTGAAGTGGCACAAATCAGATTTTTGCCTTAATGTAACACAGATCTGACATTTTCAGAGCTATGTGGACACGCAGATCTGATCTAAGCCAGTTTAGTGTCCTACATCAGATAAGTATCCAAATCGTGGCCATGCGACCTTAATGAAAACGCTCAGATCGGAATTCATGTGGGGTTTTTTTTTTTTCTTTTTTCACAAAGAGTTAACATGGCACAACCATACAGAGTTAACATGGCAGCAGAGTCTAACATGACGTTAGAGCCAGTAAATGGTGGAAAAGCAACACATCTGATCTGTTTCCACCTTCATCTTGCTCTAATGAGCAGCTGAGAGCTGTTCAGAACTAATTATCTTCGCAGTGAAGCTGTGCTTTGCTGTTTATTTGCTGAATTTAAAGAATCCTTAAAGAATCCATTTCTTAAGGCTGATGATGACAGTAACAGTAGATCAATCACTGATGCAGCTAAAACATGAACAAAATAAGAAAGATTCACTCTGGAAATAGTAAATGATTTTGTTTCTGTTTTTAATTATGTTCTGTGAAAAACATTGGTTTTGGTTCTGTGTTAACCATTCCTAATCCCTGGTTGTAGTGTTGTGTAGCAGCACCTTTCCCAGCAGTGGTATCAAAAGAGAAGAGTTAAAAATAATGATGATGCCTTTCCTCTCTGTCTGGAAACACAGGGTACGAAAACTTGCTGTATTTAATAATCATCCCCATCGCTGTGATCTTTCTGGCCTTCCTTGCTGCGACCCTGGCTCTGGTCAATAAGAAAAGGTATGCATTTTCTAGCTCTTTCTAACCCCCTACAGTCTAGTAATTAGCATCAGCAACACGCTAAAAAAAGAAAGAAAAATAACACCCTATTTTTAGCCTCAGCGTGAAGAAGCCAGGCTGTACTTTTCTTTCCACTCAACATGTTTAATAGCGCAACACTAATGAAGGGCTTTTTTCACACTTTAAGTGTGAGCTTCAGGGGTTTGTCTGAAACATTGCAGCTGCTTTTTCCTTCTTTTGTGGGTAGACTGAGGTGAGGTTTCATTAGGCCAGCAAGTCAGAGGAAAAACAGAGTAATTGTTCGAAAACACTTTGTATTTGTTCTGTGTTAAATGTTTTTAGTGTTGCATTTAGTAAATAGAGTGGTCTTCTAAAATTGCAGGAAAAGTGACAGACTGGGAAACGGAGTTCTGTATGCCTCAGTCAACCCAGAGTATTTCAGCGCTGCTGAAAGTAAGTACCATCCCATGGGCTGTGGGCTTTAGGTCTTTGGAACAGAACACCTCATCCTATGTCATCCTATTTTGAAGAGAACTGAAGAGCTAAAACTAGATTTTCTGTGCATGTTTGTGTATATATTGAACGCTCTCATAATGTCCTAGCTTCCTTTCATATTTGCTTAAATATTTCCTGATTAACAGGCCAATGAAAATGGTGTGGATTCATCTGGAATAGTTGCAATGGCATGTTCTTACTTTTAGTCTATGGCACATACTATGCTATGCATTCTGTTACAAAACAAGCATTGTTATATTAAGAAAACTGGTCTATTAATGGTCTATTTCTAGGTATATTTCTTAAATCATTTTAAGACAAGTGCAAATAAAACCGCTCCCCCACTACCATATATCACCAAAATACATATTACACACATACCGATAGAAATTAACTTTTATGACTTGTCAGTGCTTTTGAAAAAACATTCCAGGAGGTTAATGGAGCATATAGTTTATGCCTTTGCATACTTCAGTAACACAAATGTATTCATCAGCTATGGCGGGAGTACTTCCCAGACATGTGTTTTTGCCTGTGCTACTCACAAAGTTGCTGTATGAAGACCAAAAATGATTTTATAATGTTACTCAAAAACAAACCTACCTCTAAAGATTGTACATGAATCAATGGGACAGCAGTGTACAGCTCCTGGTTTCAGATGGTTCCTCAAGTAATCTTCTGCCTCAAAGTGATCACGGCAGACTCTCAATGATATTGAGGTAATATGACAAAAAATATCAACATCAGCACTAAATTTAGGCTGCTGTATTGCTTGTAGCCATAATTTGCACAAATCTCTGTCTCTCAGAGGAAATGAGTGGAAATAAACAGTGATTTGTACATCTCAGTGGAGTATTTCTGCAACCAGCAACACACCTCTTACTGCAAATTACACTAAGTGCACTAACCAGCTACTGTAACCAAAACAGAGCCGTCTGCAGCAGTGTTCTGACACAATTTACTTTGGAAACCAATGGGAAACGAGTGGTTTGTCCCACCTCCAGCCCCCCAAAACTACAAACCACAAAGAAGAAAATGAACCAGATCACAACAGAAATACACTGAGATTTGCGAAGAAAAGTAGATTCTTGTTTTTTTTAATGTCTTACTTTTTAGAAATATATGTTTTGAGGAAATTTATGTCGACAAGTCAATTAGTGTATATAAAGAGAGAAATCTGATTATAATTTGCCAACCAGCTGGAGAAAAAAAACAAAAAATGTTGAATATATATTTATATTGATATATAAACTGTTTGGTCCATCTAGAAACATCCACATCTAACAGGGCCCAAATGTGATTTTGAGTGAACTACTCCAATTGCAGCTCTGTACAGTTACTGCCTGCTCATCATAGAGCGAAAACACTGAATGGTAACTGTAGGTTACGGCTGGGCTAAAGATGAAAAGTGTGGCCTAGTCACAGCCACGAATAAGTCTCACTCAAGCAGCTTGTGTTGGTTTGACTGTTGAATACTGAAGCTGGCTAATGAGAAAATGTCTGCATTCATTTATTGATTCAGATTTTTTTTTTACCGCTGTTCATCTATAAAGCTGCTGTTTTGAAGATTCTGAGGATGTCTTAAACCAGGGATGTCCAGTCTTATCCACAAAGGGCCTGTGTAGCTGCAAGTTTTTATTCCAATCAAGCAGCAGCGAACCTGATTCCACTTGTTTAATCAGTTGCTCTCCATCTTCAAATAATTGATCCTGTGTGCTCCTGCAGCTTGGCTCTTTATGGATAACATTGGACACCCGTTTTACACCAGCAAAGCTATATTGTTCTATATGGATGAAGAGCATGTAGGTATACGTATAGATGCATCAGTCCATAAACTTGTGTCCTGCTTCCCTCCACCAGTGTATGTACCTGATGAGTGGGAAGTGGCACGAGAGAAAATCACCATGTGCCGAGAACTGGGCCAGGGCTCCTTCGGTATGGTGTACGAGGGCATCGCTAAGGGTGTCGTCAAGGACGAGCCTGAAACCAGGGTGGCTATCAAAACGGTCAACGAGTCGGCTAGCATGCACGAGCGCATCGAGTTTCTTAATGAAGCATCTGTCATGAAGGAGTTTAACTGTCACCATGTGGTATGGATGATATTGGATCATGATCATGGTAGACCATCACTTGGTTGTGTAATAGGTTCTGTGCACCAGTCTTGGATTTAAACCTGAAAAAGGATTTGTGGATTGTCATGATATTAAGCCTTTGTTTTATTAGCTGATTAATTCAGTAAAATGTAAAAATTCTAACATGTGGTGATTGGTGCAGGTGCGTCTGCTGGGTGTGGTCTCACAGGGACAGCCTACTCTAGTGATCATGGAGCTCATGACACGGGGAGATCTGAAGAGTTATCTACGAACGCTACGATCCAAAGAGGTAAGCAAACAATGGAGTCCATTTTTACACACTGCTAATTTAACTGCCCTCAGACTTTTTTTTTTTAATAAAATTTTATATACAGGTTAACAGATGTGCCAGTGTTCAGTAGTAAGATGTACATTGATACTCAACACACACAGTTCCTGTTATTGAGATGTCGTCACTGCATTTTAATCAAATAACTTGCAGTTTTATCAGGGGTTGTTAGATATATAGAGTAGTTCTGGTGTCACTGCACTATCACATTAGTACAGTTTCATACTCAGAGGATCTTCCTCCTGACATTAAAAAAATGCTCATTAGGATGGTAACAAAACAGGATTTCAGAAGTGAATGAAGACTGTTGTGCTGTTTTACAAAAAGTTGTCATTCACTGTTTGGCTACTCAAAATGATATTTTTCTGTTTTTCTTGCTGAAGATCTATTAGCAGTGGCAGAATAATTTCCTTCTCTTACCTTGCCTTTCCACTCATCCATAGAGCACATCCAGCCTGCCTTTGCCACCGCTGAAGAAGATGATTCAGATGGCTGGAGAGATAGCAGATGGCATGGCATACCTCAACGCTAACAAGTTTGTCCACCGAGACTTAGCAGCCAGGAACTGCATGGTGGCTGAAGACTTCACAGTCAAAATCGGAGGTATAAAACAAAAAAGTTTAAAAATTCTTTATTCTGGTTCAGGCTGAAGCACATCCAGCAAGGAACAAAGAAAGGTTTTCTCAAATTAGCATTTGTGTATTTATTCTGTAGCTAGGCTACAACATCTGTTTTTGATGTGTTTAATCCTTTATGTGTATTCAGTTCCTTCAAATGAATTTCGCTGTCTGGCAGAGCTTTGCTCAGAATCCTTTTTTCTATCAATCAGTAACGAACCAGTGAAAGTTTCGCGCAAGCGTAAGCGTATAAGCTCCAGGTTTTGTTTGGCTCTGGGACAGCTTTTACTCTATAGAAATCTCACCTCATTTGTCCCGGCTCTGTAGATTTTGGCATGACGCGGGACATTTACGAGACCGATTACTACAGAAAGGGTGGGAAGGGACTTCTGCCTGTGCGCTGGATGTCTCCAGAATCCCTCAAAGACGGAGTCTTCACCACCATGTCTGACGTGTGGTAAGCACAGGTTCACTTTTAGTCTGTTATTCTAGGTTGTGAGGTTCTGTCTCTACAACACTTGTACACATTTGTTTAAGGATACTGTAGGTTTAAGACTTCTTACTGTACTTTGTTTATTTGACCCCTTAAAATCTCAGGCTAATAACATTGTAAGTCTTATTGTTTAGTTTTATTTAGTATTTATGTCGTTATTTTTCATTTATAGAGGTGTGGAATAGAGATTGGATCATTTAAGGGGTTAACGGGGTCAGTGCGCCTTAGTTCAGTGTAAATCTATCAGATTTTGGTAAGTGGTGTTTTCATCAGCTGTCCTGGGCCATGTTACGAGTGCGTTAATCATACATTTCTGTGGCAGATTTAGATAATGATTTATTTTTCTTAAAAAATTAAATAAATAAATAAACAGGCAGAAACATTGTTTACTTTTTTACCCGAAGCTTGTAATTTGCAGGCTAAATGAACACAATACAAAATGCAGTCATAACAAATGCACAGATATGCATGCACTTTAGACAAAGCATTCAGAGGAGCACAGATTTTATAGTTAATGCCCTACTAACACATGGTTCATATAGCCTTAACAAATACGACTCCTAGCGCTTTTTTACTAGGGGTCAAGTTTTGACTGAACATATTGTATGCTTGCAGTTAGAAATCACATGTATATAAAGTAAACAGCTCTTAACTATAGTAAACACATTGTGCTGTGTCCTACATTAAATACTGCTATTTAATAAAAAGGTCATGATTATATGACAGAAAAATGAAAAACTCATGAACTTTATGGAATATTCTAAGCCTAAAGACTACACTGATTGTGCTAGTAGGTTTGGAGATGACTATAGGAGTAATTGAGGACTGCTGTGGAATACTAGTGCTTTGTGTTTTGTTGAGGTAGTTAAATACTATTTTTTTAAAAATTCAGACATTTCAATAACACACAATTAAATTGTCATCATCAATTCCCAGCCAAAGCAATGGCAAAAAAAAAATATGGATCCAGTAACCATGTGCTTAACTGGTTTACATTATGCAAGTCATGAAATTGCATCACAGATCAGCTGAAATGATCTAAATAATGGCCGATTCTGACTCTGGATGACTCGGATCATTCACCCCTAGTACATGCACTTGTGTGTTTAGAACAGTGTTAATTTTCAGGTTTAGTGTTTGCTGTGAATCAAGCTACTGTTATGGGACAAGTTCTCCAAAAATGCCAACTGTGCTGACAGTGCAAGCCAATTAGACCGATTTGCATTACGCTGTTATTTGTTATCATTGGCTGTGCTGTTTTTGAATGATATCATTCTCTTAAACCCTGACTGCACTGTTTAGTAGGGTGCCGTTAGATGAGAGGCATATCCATCCAGCACAGACACATGTTTTCTGTTATAACATATATGTGGTAGGAAATGGAGGGATATTTTTCCCTATATGTTTCAAGCAGATTTGGCAGGCAAGCCTCATCACAGTGGACATGAGGTAGAAACATTGGCCTCCCGCTCCTCCCATTAGACAGTTTTTCAAAGGAAACCTCAGGGAGTAGACCAGGCGACTGTACACAGCTGCACATTCTGTATCTCACATCAGTTTACTATCCCATGTAGAGTTGTCACAATGCCAGAGGTTTATAATAAAAGCGTAGTATCAGTGCTCTGTACTGAAACAGCACTATAGATATATATATATATAGATGACATCATATTAGAATAATTTTATACATGTGTCTGCAACAAAATTGGTTGTATTATTGGTTGTATTAGTGATTCCAAACTTTTGAGCAGTGATTCTAAACTTTGGAGCAGCAGTGTACAACAAAACAGGGTATACCTTATATACCTTATATTGAATGTTTTTTTGTTTTTTTTTTTTTACATAAGATCACAGTTACTGAAGAAAACTTCATCTGTATGTTTCAGATATGCTAATGAGTGTCTCTGCCCATCTGAGTCAAGTTACCTTGCACGCTTTATTTCACCTACAGGCAGAATGCCTTGTAAATGTTGGCTTCTTTAAATAAGAAATTAAAAATTAGATAAAGAATTAGGTTACTGATATTTTATTGAAAAAAAATAACCTTTCAGTACATCATGCAGTACTCCCATGTAACCATAAGAAGCCTCCCTTCCCTCTGTACTGTTCTGCTGAGGAGAGGATTTTGTTTATTGCTTTATTTTTCATCCAGTCATCCCAATATTTGAATTAGTGTCAACTTAAATCTTGAGTGAGTAATAAACCCTGCTTGGACTGGGCCTAAATGTTTACAGATAGTTTGATTTTTAGTGCTGCAATGACTAATAGACCTTTTCCATGTATGGATTGTGCTCAAAACAGCTCTGCAAAGAATATATCAAGCTGATCACTTCATAGCTTAGGAAAAACAGGGCTGAGGTGAAAAATATTGCATGGGAACACGGTACAAATTAACTCGTTTCCAAGTGAGTAACACCTTTGTTGTCCTTTTTTTTTTGGTGCTGCTGGCTTCCTTAAGGGAGCAGTGCTGTAGTCCCAGCTGAATGCCATTAAATCTCAATATGTCAAGTATCTGTCTCAAAGTTCTGTTAAATCGGCATATTGATCACAATCCACTCCATCTTCCTGAAGACAGTTCACTACACACCCACATCCTGAGCCTTTTTTTACCATCTCAACAGTGTGGTTTTATTCTTCAGAATGTGATCATCAAAGGCAGTTTGTATCAAAGTTGTGTTTGGGCCAAACATTGATATTATATTTCCTTAGTCTTTAATCTTATATTATTATAACATGAATTATATTGTGTTTACTTTAGCCTAATTTAAATAAGTCACATGACTAGTGCCTTTGGATTCCAGACATTATAGAAGTGTTGTGCATGCACTTACTCTCACTGGAATAATTATTTACATTTAATTACCTTTGCATGTACTTGAGTTTACTTATTTCAAAGTAACAATACTTGTGTTTGAGTACAATTTTTGACCAACATGCTAAAAATAGACTTTAAGTCCAAGAATTTAAAAGGATTTTCACTGAAACACCTTCATTGACAGTGTAATTTAGTTCCATATAAAGCAAATCAGTCTGCCTTCAGAGAACAGACAGCTTAGTGCATCAGATGTTGTCACTTGTTAGAACAGCAGCACCTCTATATGAATAGTTACTGTAAAACTGCTACATAGAAGGTCAAAATATATGTTAATATCTGATACAAGCTTCAAATGTCCAGGTTTAATCCTGAACAGCCGAAAAAAAGTTCATGTGCACCAATGTAAGCTCAGTGCTAACATACTATTAGAAACCTCATCAATGTTTTTTTCTTGTTATTGATGGAGTTTTGATATTTATGGCCCAAACTGAAGGCCTAGCTCTAAAGGCTGTTACTCACTGTACATGACGCGAAAAGACGGAAAGGACATATTTGAACACGATTTTTTCACATCAAAACTACAAAACGTGATTTTATTGGAATGCTGCTGTTTATCACACTGTGAAAAATGGGCAGAATATGTATTAAAAATATATACTGGTCAAATATATATTAACTATATCAAAGAAGATCCTTTTCTCCTCAAGAAACAGGCAAACCGTGACAGTTGACATGCACAAAAAGCAAAAAACAAATGGGCTGAATGTCTTTAAGTGCAAATAAGGTCCAATTCTTTGCTTCCAGCAGAACGGACACACAGTGACACTGGGCTACTGTCCAAAAGTAAAAGTAGCGTGAAGAGCTTCATCACTTTATTCAGAAGCTGAAACTTTTTCTTCCACATTTAACTTTGATGTTTGTGGTCCAGTTTGAGCCGCTTTCGGAGATTCTGATCCCTCCGATTTCTGTGAAAAAGTTCTATTTGCTGGAACAGAGCCGCTCTGTCATCTTGGTAGTCATTACGCCAATAGCAGAGGGGACTGTAATTGGTCGTTGAGTTCATGTCACCGGGGAAAGTTCACAGAAATTAAACAGAGGGCGAATAAAATAATGTCCCATTTTCAGCGTGCAAAAAACGCTGGTGTGCAAGAGACCATCAGTTAATTTACTGTTGTCCAGATAAATTACACAAATACATTGCGTTTGGTGTGTAAACACTGTAATAGTCACAGTTTGCCACTGATATTTATGCTTTTGTAATGACTTCTGTCTTTTTCAGTTCATTTTAATGTCACAAAATGACAAGAAAAACATGGGGGGGAAAAAAAGTAAAGGGACATTTTTATTCCAGCAAAACAAGACTGTACACACAACAATGACATCAAAACTCAAATCATAACAAAATACGTCATTTTCTCTGATAAATGTGATATGGATTGAATGTTTAGAATCTGCACTTTCCAAAAAAAATTCCATTTTTTTCAATGTGTGAGAAATAATTAATAGAAATTTACATGCTTTTCTCTCCACCAATAACTGTGACTTTTATAGGTTAATGTTCACTTTGGTTCTGTCATTTGGCAAAAATAGAGCAGGATTTAAATCTCTCTCTCTCTTTCTCACTCTTTCTCTAGGTCATTCGGGGTGGTGTTATGGGAGATTGCCACCTTGGCAGAGCAGCCCTATCAGGGCATGTCCAATGAGCAGGTATTGCGCTTCGTCATGGACGGAGGCCTGCTGGACAAGCCTGACAACTGCCCAGATATGCTGTGAGTCTCCTCGTACTTCTCTCTGTTACTCTATCTCCTGCTGAGGTCAGGAGCTGGACAGCTAAAGCACGAGGAACTGATGTAACTTAATGCAAGAACCAAGCCTGCCACCTGCTGTGTTACTAGCGTCAGTATTCAGCTGTATTAGGGTCTCCATAGAGGAGCGTTTGAACCAGCAGTTTGCTGGCAAGTGAGATGGGTATTTGACAGCACTTTTGTCATTTTAGTTACAAACTCTCAACACAGAAAAATGAGCAGAACATTACAGTTAAAATGAAATAACTGCATAATTCCTAATAATAGAAGGGGAAAAAGGTAACTGCTTTCGGGTGCTAGCTCTCTGTTGCTTTGTTTTAGTGAATTGTCCCAGGCCAGTCTACATCACATTGGCTTGTTTGGGGGTCATTTCCATGCTCCTCAAGCAAAAACCAAGGAACGCGTTTAATTTGAGACCTTCCACTTTCTGGGGTCCAGCTATTGCCTGTGTTTTTTGCGTCCAATTACAGCAGCTAGTTCTTGGCTCCCGGCCTTCTCCCCCGTGCCTGAGAGTGTGCACTACTGGCCCTGGCCAGCTGTCCATAGCTGTATCACAAGACCCTCTGCGGTTTTACCCAGCTGAACTGACTTGTTTTAAATAATGTGAGGCTGACGTCATGGAGCTGTGTGTGTGTGTGTGTGTGTGTGTGTGTGTGTGTGTGTGTGTGTGTGTGTGTGTGTGTGTGTTTCTTCTCAGTAAAGTGAGAGCAGTAGAAGGGGGTACCAGTCTGATGGTATTCAGGTGTAGCTTACACTCACTCACACATGGTCTGAACTATAAGCCTGACCTGTTTTTTACTTTCTGAAACTGTCACTCTGCTTAAGAGTCTGGTCATTGGGAGAAAAAAAACATTGTTCCATGCCTCAGCAGAACACGGTACACAATCGATGGCGGCAAGCAGCCGTTTAAACTTTGACATGATGTCTAGACCAATATTTCAGACCAGTGTTTGATGATGTATTTATAGTACAGTGTAAGAGCAGAATGTTTAGGGCTAATTTACTAAAATGTCTGCACTTTATTCATTGGACTACATTTGTAACCTTACAGAAAGAAATAGTACATCTATCCATAATGCTAATCTGGGTGTATCTTGTCACATTTTCTTGCTGTTTAAAAATGTATTTTGTAACTTAATCCAAAGGATTACTCGATTGAAGTAATGTTATCTGATTACCTTTCATTACCTTTGGATTTTTTGTCTTCATAAAGTCATATAATTAAATCAACACCATAGAGAAACCATTTCAGTAGATCAGCCTCCTATTGCTAAATTTATTGGTGAAAATAATCAAGTATTAAAGTCCTGCATAGTTTGGAATATAAAAATTAAATATTGGAGTATTTGAGCCCCCTCAGCTCTACATTCTTTGTCGTGCAAGGTAAACTACTCTTAAAATCACATTCAGATAAATGACGTGGGTTTCCTACCTAAGCAAGCTGTTTAAACCTTTCAGTTGACTGGTGGAAAAGTGACATTTACCTCATAAAGAAGTGAATTTTAGGATTTAGCAGTTTGAGTTAGCATGATTAGTAAGCATTCTGTTTGTCATAACAATTTTTTTACTTTGTGCGAGTCTCCCTTCTCCACCTGCAACAGTGTGATGAGTGATGAACTCTAACAAAGGGGAAAAAACCCTCACGGCAAGATCTGCTTTTAGCAGACAAATTTCGCTCATGGACAGTACTGCAAGCAAGAAATCAGCTTTCAGTGGTATTAGTGTAATCTTGCTAGTGATCACAGTATTTTTATAATGTGTCTATTCTGAATACCACCTTTTTTCTATAGAGTGCTGTTACTTTTCTTGTATACTGATTATATAATGTAGTATTGTATTCTATCACAATGGTTAATCAAAACATGTAAAGTACTTGTCGGTGCCTGAACACCCAGTGTTTGTGGGGTTAAACTTAGCTAAATGTGTGATTTGAATCACCTGTTGTCAAAATATACCGTCAACATAGATTTGACTAAAAAACTCTGAATTTAGATTTTTTATATTGAATTTATTAATATTGAATTGTTTACCATGCTGTGGAATTGAAAAGGCTTTGAAGAATATATTGCGCAACAGCAGAATGCAGCGTCTGCAGCCATTTTAGCTGTGGAGGTCCTGGAGCCGCTCCCCCTCAGTGGAAACCTCATAAAGTGCCATGCAGGAAAAACAAGCTCAGGGCACTGGGTCCACTCTCTCAGCGGTGGGGCAGAGTGGACGGGGGTTTGTTTGAAGTAGTGTGTGTTCCAGCGTATGTACCGCACTCAGATTTGGAGCTGTGTGTGTGTGTGTGTGTGTGTGTTGTCAGCTGATGTTTGTAATAGTCCTGTCTCTAAGTAGAGAGCTGTATGTGTGTGCACCATAGATCTGGCATTTGTCACTTTGTGTGTGTGTGTGTGTGTGTGTGTGTGTGTGTTTGTTTTTGTACATTTTCAGGACAAAAATAAAACCAGAGAAAAACAGGATTAACTTATAATGTGACAGTGACTTTACAATAGGCTTTTTAGCAAAGCTACATGTTTCATTTTTTTAAAACTAGCATAACAAATGGCATGACCATTTATTTTTTGGTTACTGAGGTTAAGGCTGGGGTTAGATTTACCATGTTCTTAGTACATACATTACATTTCAATTGCTATATATATATATATATATAATATTATATATATTATACTTACTGGACATGTACAACCCCACATTTTTAACATTTTTTTGTATAAAACAAGTGTGTGTGTAGGAGATCAGTTGAAGTGAAGCTGCTGAAGAGAGCAGGGTGGTATTTATTGCAGCAGTGTGTGGACTCTGGTATTCTTAGCTTGTTTGTGTATAATTAAAAGTGGTGAAATGGAATGCTTCACTGTGTAAACTATAACGCTTACACTCGCTCTCTTTCTCTCACTCTCTTTCTCTCACTCTCTCTCTCTCTTTCTCTCTCTCTCTCTCTCTCTCTCTCTCTCTGTACGTGTGTTAGAATAAGAGCAGGTCTTACTCCTATGTTTTTTCTCTGCCAGCCTCTGCCTTTTTTACGGCTGTTTAACAGTTTGGCCTTGCGATTTCATCACAAGTGCTGTGTTTGGTTTGCAGTGCAGCAGGCCTTTGGAATTCACTATGAGATCACTGCAGCTGTGTTTGGCCCGTAGCTGCTGTCAGTGAGCATGTTTTATTCTCCTCCACACTGCCACCTGTTGGTCAGAGTGGGAAACACATCGAAGAGTTCTTAACCTGCTGGAAGTTCCTGAAAGAAAATAGTTTTGTTTGCATATGACTTTTGCAGTTAGATGCAAATATCTTTTCAGCAATACAGAGTTCTTAGAAGGAACAAATCCAGGATCCAAACGGGACCATCACCCAACATGTAGAATAAAACCACATATTTCTGATGATCACACCATTAAGTAGCCGTCGGCGGGTCACAGATAAGTAATAAAGAATATTAAAAAATGATAAAATAATCAGCTGTCTGAAATGACATTTAAATTGGATTTAATAACCAAACAGTGCTTTTGATCCACATCCTACACATTTTTAGTCTCAGTAAACTGTCCTCTACTCAGTTCTACAGTGAGTTAGCCTTCCTCTCCTTTACAAAGATCATATTACATATTGAACATATAAAAATGTTTTTGGCCAAACCAATGTAAACGTTCTTTTGGCTGCAGTAAACTGTACTTTTCTGAAACAGTTTGCTGTTTTATTTCTCTCACATCCAGTTTCTCACAAACCTCACTGCTAGTTTTTGTCAAAAGGTTGCGTGGGTAACTTCAGCTCAGAATATTAAAAACTGGTAGGGAAAGTAGGAATGAAGAATGAAGTAAGGACAAAAAATTAAACTAGGGGAAATGCAGGGTAAAATATCAGAGAATGTAAAATTTGAACCCAATTTGATTCAGAAACGTAGTTGAGAAACTCTCTGGAAGACATTGTTATAGAGATATCTTAGAATTTCTGGTGTAAATCTCTGATCTTATAGCAATTCCATTTCATGGCAGTTCTTAAGGAAACAATTCCATCTATCATAATGCGTCACTGCATTTTTACTGAGATTTAAATGCTTGTTTCTTTTATGTTTTTGTGTTTAGGTTCGAGCTGATGCGCATGTGCTGGCAGTACAACCCCAAGATGCGGCCATCCTTCTTGGAGATTATCAGCAGCATCAAAGATGACCTGGAGCCGCCCTTCAGGGAGGTCAGCTTCTTCTACAGCGAGGAGAACAAGCCTCCTGACACAGAGGAGCTGGACATGGAGAAGGTGGGCACCATGGAAAACGTTCCTCTGGAGCCTTCAACCAGCCTGCAGCCGCTTACTTCTGCTTCAGCCTCGCCCCCGCAGGGCATCCAGGCCCAGGGCTCGGCCGTCCCAGGACCTTCTTCACCCCCTCCTTCGTCCCCAGGCTCCTCGGGGCTGGACAAACGCACGGGCTCCAGCTCGGGGTCAGTTTCCTCGGCCAATGGGCCAGCCGTGGTGCTGCGGAGCCCGTTTGACGAGAACCAGCGTTACGCGCACATGAACGGCGGCCGGAAAAACGAGCGTGCCTTGCCCTTGCCCCAGTCATCAGCGTGCTGATCCACACCCTCCCCCCTCATTTCACCCCTCAGATCTCTTTCCTAGATCACATTGAGCCTCTCTCTTTTTGCCTGGAGCACCCCTTGCCCCACAAGGTCTGTCCAATCACATCGTCCCTTCTGGAACGGAAATGGACAGAAAAGAAAGTAGGCGGGGCATAATGGTTTAAAAAACATGGTGAAAGGTGTCCAGGCTGTACCTTCGATCATACCTCAATGGACGCTGTTTTTGAGGTTTTTTTTTGTTTTTTTGTTTTTTTGTTTTTTGGTTTGTTTTTCGGTTTGTTTTTCTTTATGTATTTCTGACCTGCATTGATTCATAGGCAGGTGGCGCAAACCTCCAGAAGTACGGAGAAGTGCTGTAGAAGTACAGAGAAACAGAACTCTGACTGAAAAGGAAAAGAGAAAAAGAAAATAATAACTTCCAAGGAGTTTCCAACTCCCTCCTGAGAGCTGGACTGCTTTTATACTGTTTTTTGTTACTTTTATAAATTTCCAAATAGGGAAAAAAAGGAGTTTAGAAGCCTAAATGAAATCAGTCATTGGTAAGGTGGCATTATTGTACCGCAAAATGGAGCATATCTTTAAGCAAATCCAAGAGAGAAGCACTTGGGGTTGGGGAGGATGCTCATGTCTTTGTTTTTGGTCTGTGTGTCCAAAGACATGCTGTACAGTCAGTGGTGGCACTGAAGAGAGAGTGCCAGAGGGGTTTTTTCTTGAGTATGTGCTCTTATGTCACTGTATCCCCCACCTCAGAGCAGTACAGGGGGGTTTTCAGTGGCCCCTTATAACTGTGGCTTTAAGCCAGGGCCCGCTGAGGTAGAGCTGGGCAACGGTAGTCAAAACCCCTCACTGTTGGAGTTATCCTACCGGAAATTCAAATTGGTAGAGCAGAAAGTCTCAAACCTGCCATTTCTTTTTCTTTTTTTTTTTTTGGCCAAAAGATACACTCTTTCGCTCTCTCAGTCTCTGTTCTCGGCCCTTTTGTGTTCTTCAGAGAGCATGAAAGCAAATGCAACACTCCACATTTTTCATTTTTTTTACACTGGTGTACAAATATATATATATATATCTATATATAATTTTTTCCAGCTCTTCTTGTGCTTAACAGTTGTGATCAGTAGAGAGGTATTTCAGCATTTCACCGAATTTGCCTCCTCTTTATTTTCTTGACCAGATGTCTGTCTGTCTCTGTCTGTTTGTCTTTTACATTCGATTCTACTGCAGAACTTCCATTGGGTGAGCTAGCCGCATTCGGTCAGAAACGAGATGCAAAAATGAGAAGGAGCACCTAGGAAGATTAAAAAAGATGACAAATGCAACGACCACAAAGCAAGAAAACTCCAGAAGAGATTAGCATTGACAAAAAAAAAAGTTGAATTGAAGGTTTATTCGTATGTTCTCAGTCGTAAAGTTGAGGCATTGTGGAGAGCAGGTATTTTTGTAGTCCCGTCACATTTCCCCTACCGTAATTCAGACATCTCTCTATTGGTCTTTCAGTTGTATGTCGGACCACGGAGCGTACACATCATTTTGTTTGTGTCACTTTTGTACCTTTTTTACAGTTCAGATGAACATCTGTATGTCTGTACTGAAAGAAGCTGCTATTTTATTCTCATTTTCTTTTGTGGTTGTAATATATATCTATATGTAAAAGAGATCCTTCGGGTTGAATCCTTTACTGTGTCCACTACAGTCCATTTTCTTATGCTTGTACTTTTGCAGAAAAAAAAAGAAAAAAACTATATACTATTTATAATTTGTGCCCCTAAGTGAAAAGTTTTTACCCCCATCTTCTCTTCCCTTGTCTTTATCTCAACCCAGTATTGAGTGTTTTTTCTGAAATTAGAGCTTTTTCCTGTCACTTGGTTACAAATTGACATTCGTCATTAAGTTCATGGTGGCACCATCTGAACTCTTAGACGCCTGGTCAGCAGTCAAGCACTGTGTCTTACATAACATCAACCAGAATCTCAGGTCAAATTCAAAGTTGCAGACTCATTTCCATCGTTCCCCCCTCAGTTACTTCTGCCTTCATCTCATTTGCAAAGGCATCTTATCATAACATTTGTTTTGCTATATTTTTACCGGTTTATTCCCATTGCATCTTATCATTAGTTCCTAAACCGGTTCTCACGGCCCCCCAGACGGTCTATGTTTTACCTATATGCATATGTGTAAGGATTTTGGATAGAGCAAAAGTGTGGACCCTCTGGTGTCCCCTTGAGGACTGATTTGAGAACCACTAGTAGACTACTATGTAGACCCCTGAAGTTATGAATTATTTTGTGGGTCACAACATGCCCAAATAAGGAGCTCTGGGTCTGAGCTGTTTTTCTCTGTGGGAAAATTTTAATTGCATTTTCAAAAATCTCTGTGTAAACAAAAACATCCTGTGTCAGTTTTTCCCATGACCATCACTGAATCCTCATTAAGGGGTCTAATATGAATATTGCTAGTTCAAGCTAATACTCCTAAGCATTGAAATGACGTTGCATGAAAGACTACTACTATATAGGGATGCTCAGGTTTTAATTTTTATGGTGGATTCCAATAATTTTACAGCCAAATTGGCCAATTTTTCTGTTTTTTTTTTTTAAACACTTAAAACACACTAGCAAATTTCCAGCACTTCCTTAGATTAGCAATTTATCCCAGTATAAATAACATTTTTTGCGCTTTTTTGAGACAGACTGTTTTTTTTTTTAAATCTTAAATGAAAAATCAGTTGTCTAAACAACATGAAACATCAAATTGAGAGGGAACTGGCTACTTAGAACATTAAGTCTTCCATAATTATGCTGTGATATTTTGGTACAGGTCTATCAGCAGCTTTCAAATACAGTTTGAGTGCACCTACCCAGCTCACATCATTTACATAATGAAAATACAACACTGATTGGCTGAAATAAAAATAATAAAATGGCAGATTGCCAAATGCATGCTGGGAGCAAAAATTGCCCAAATCCGTTCTTTGTGTGTCCCTGCTACTGTACTTCTATAACAGCGTCTGCTAAGTACTGCTAGAGCTTGTTGAGTGCCACATTTGACACAGCTTCTTGGTTCGTGGGGGTATTTTGGTAAGCTTACACGTAGCAATATTCATATTTCACGTACTTAAAGCTTTGGGGGAAAAGATTTGGGGTTTGGAGACCTCATTGGTAGAAATGTTTAATTGCGCACAGAACATTTTGTAACATGGGTCATGTTTTGGACCCCTTCCCCGAGAGGATGAATCTGATGGGTGTGAACGTGTGGAAAGAGAATTCAAAGAGAACTTGGTCAAAATTTGGTGAAAGACATGTCTTCCAACAATGTGAGAGAATGATCTACTATTGTCATCATATCTTCATCAGTATAACGTTGATTTTGTATTTGAGACCCAAACATCTTTCTGAGCCTTTGTGTGCAACATTTAATGCGGAAAATTAAATGTTATCCGAAAACCCCCACTAAATACGACCTGACACCTCGGGCTTTTACATGTCTATTTCAGGCTTTACAGATATTGTGGGTTTTTGTGTGTTTTTTTCGCTTTAGAAGCTCTTTTGTTTACCGCAGGTTGTGATCAGGTGATTTTTGAAAATGCTGTTTCATTTTTCCCCATAGAGAGAAATGGTGTAGACCTGGAGTTCCTTTTATGGGCATGTATTTGACTGCAACACTTTCCCAGAGATGTGTAGACCTTATACTTCATTGCCACCATGTTTATCTAAACTCAGTTGCCCACCTGCTAGCATTGAAAAGGATATGATTTTGCATCTCTATGCAGATCTAGTGTTAACATGAAATGTTACAAATATACATTAGAGAGGTCACTTTCATACATTTCACAGTCAATCAAAGGTCAATCAACTAGCGCCAGTTATGTATGTTTTGTTTGTTTTGAAGGATTTCTTTCATAGCCTAATTCACTTCCTCTTTCCCTCTCCTCCCTTTTTATTTTCATTATTTATTTTGATTTTTTCGTGATATGTTGAAAATCACTGTACAAATCCCCTTTTGATTAAGTGTTACATTTGAGATATTTTTATATATTTTTTTCATGACTTTGGGACTTTTTTTTCATTTCTCCTTCAAGCATTTATCTACCTCACCCTTTTTTATGAATATATATGTACCTGTATATAAAGAAAATTCATCTGATTCCTCCCCAACACCCACCCCAACCCCCCACACGCACCGAAAAATGGACAATGTTACTGCTCTGTGTATCTGGGTAAACCTCAAACACTACAAAACCACAAACCTAGCAGTGGAGAAGTGCTGGCATTGTGGACGTTTGTACAAACTGGCTGCTTTTCTTATTTCCCTATAAGAATCTCCAATTTGTTCATTATTTATTTGAGAGATTAAACCGTGAAAGGACAGGCCTTATGAGTTAGCTTCAAATGTGCTGGAACTTTTGCTGACAATTAATTTATTCTTCTTTTGTCTCGCTAAGACGGGGGGGGGAGCAATCGGTACACAAACCTAAACAGTCAAATCGGGACGTGCTGAGTTACAGTTGGAGTGATATGGTCCTTTCTTCATGTTTTATTCTCCTCCCCTGGTGTTCGATCATCTGGTTAGTAGTCTTTTCTCTCAAGCTTTATTTTCATTGTACTTTTTTTTTTCCACTATGATGTTTTTTGGAATCCAAACACAAATCGAAATGAAAACACTTCTGCTGCAAATCGCAACGAACGCTGTTGACTGTATATTGTTGGCCTATGATCCGGTGCTGTTTGTCAGGTGTATCGAATGTATGTTCTGGTGAGATTTCATTGATTTTTTTTCTGGGCCTTGGAAAGCTGAACCACTTTCAGAATCAATCTTGATGGAGTTTGCAGTTACATTGGATGGACTGTTCACTTTAACTGTAATTAAAAGAAAACGTTCCCTTGTTCTTTTACATGATGCAGCCAACAGTCAGTACGGATAGGGTTTGTTTGAAAACGGGTTTGATGACGGGTGGTCTGGGTAGCTTTTTTTTTTTAGTCGTCATCATCATCACCCTCTCTTTCTACAATCGCTGCTTATAACGGCACAATGTGTGTCAATCTGAGCAATTTCAGGACTGCTGATGAAACAGGTAGCTGAAGAGGACGGAGTGATCAAAAATGCCAACTTTCTTCTTTTTTCGTCCTTCAGCGTTTTTAAATCTGGTCTCTACCTGCCGCATCTGTAGCATATCGTTGATTGTCGTGGGTGATACTTTTAGCACACCTAGAACTGAAAAGTCTAACAAGGAGATTGCAAGTTCGCCCCCCAGCGTTGCCACAGCCATCCGTTTGCCAGGAGTCCAAGAGAACGTTACATTATGCTCACAGTTAAGGTTCTTCACGCTTACACAAACCATTTACAGAAGAGATTCTTTATAGAGCTAAAATGACTCTTCTGTGGAATTGCTCACCTTTTTTAATGAGTGTAAATTAGGGTGAAAATTTGGCCAAAAACAAACAGAAAAACTGTTGAGAAACACGCTTATAGTAGAAGCCGACGGGCTCGTGGTAAAGCCATGGAGATATTGTAGAGAATAATTTTGTTGCATTGCCTGAATTCAGAAAGAAAAAAGACTATTGACTCAACTCACTTATACTAGACATCATTGGGCAGTTCTGTGAATTAACTGTATGAAATACATGACTAAATTTGATTTTGAGGCAAACTAGTCCGACCTCTGAACGAGCAAGTTATACAGAATTACAAATACATATATGGAATATACATATATATATACAATAAATAAATGGAAATTGTGCACTAAAATCAGCAGAAAAATGCCATATTTAAGTGTGTTCACTGTAGAGGATGTGTCAACTTGTTTTCACTTGGAAAATCCACAAAACATAACAAGGCGTGTTCAAACTTTTGGCATATGACCGTACATTTCAATGTTTTACATTGGCCCACTGGCTTCTGTTTTGGCTGAGTTTGCAGTGGTTTTGAGTTTGGGTAAACTCTTGTCTGTGGTAGTCGGTCATACGCTGCAGATGCTGAAGATGGAGATTTGGTGGGAAAATGTTGGAATATTCCCATAAATTTCGAGTTTTAAGCAGATACAGTACTTTTGCTTAGTGCTTCAAGAACAAACCTGGTCCTGATGATCCTGGTTCTCCTCACTCAGAACTTCAGTAATTCTGTCTCTACTCAAACATACCCACTCTCTCTCTTTTTTCGTCTTTCTCTCTCTTTAATCTGCAATACCATTCCAAGTGATGGCGTCCGAATCCGTGGCCCCATCCACTATGGGCTAGATGTACTCAGGGCTGAAGGTTGGGGGGCATCCCGGAACAGGAGGGGCCTTGAGCGGCCCAAGAGCCTTCTCTGCTCTGCTGCTGATGATATTGCTGCTTCCGATCATTTTTATGTAATGCATTTCCGAATTCTTGGACACTTACGGCGTACTCCACGAGTACATGACGACCGACAAGAGAGGGTAGATGACGTTGATGGGAAACGATGGCTTAATCTAGATCTCTTAAAAAACAAAAAAATAATTTAAAAAAAAAAAACAACTTTTATACACTTTATTCCATGTAAACATTTTTACCAGTGACCATTCTGATATTTGTACAACAGAAGATACGCGGTGATGCCGTTCATGTGACAAGGAGCAGTACAAACGTATTTAACAAAGGATTCATTATAGATATGGAAACCAACATGTTGCATATTTGAGAGGGGAGGGTGCCGAAAGGTTTGTGGTCCAAGCCTCTTCAAGCCTGGTTGTTCCATGTTTAAAATATAGAAAGAAATATGAGGAAAAAAACAGGCACTTATTACTTTGTTTTCACTTTCCATTGTAAAAAAAAAATAATAAAAATAAAAAAATACAACAAAGTGCCCCAAGAATGACATGGAGATTAATAATGAAGATTTTGTTCATAGTGGCACATTGCTGGATATTTTTTTTTCAGTGTGCGTGTGCGCGCGTGTGTATGTGATACTTGCTAAGAAAAAAAATAATAAATTCAGATCACCAGCTTTGTAATTTGTGTTCCTGTGTACAGACTGAGAGTTATTAACTGGTATTTAAAACTATTTAGCATTATACAGTCATGCAAAAGTTTGTACACCCCCCAATCATAGTACAAGTTAAAATACAAGTTTGTTTTGTTTTTTTGTCTAACATATTGGGGAAAGATATATATATATATATATATATATATATATATATATATATATATATATTTCAAACTTTTGCATGAATGTATATACATAATAATAAAATATACATGGTTATGGTACATATGTACATAATATGTACCATAACTCTTACATGGGCCACATTGTTTTAATCTTTTCTTCCTCAATATGTTAAATTAACAGTAAACAGTAATTCTGCATTAAATTTTGCAGAAGTGTGTTCTTTGTAGAGGATGTGTTCACTTATTTTGACTTTGGGGTGCCCAATCTTTTGCATACAACTGTATAAATAATGTTTCTAGGCTAAATGGTTGGGTATTTATAAAGAAAAAATATTCCACGTTTGATTATATTGATGTACATATACAGTCGTCCCATATAATAGATCTCTGATTAAAATGATTTCCTGCAATGTAACACTTTTGATTCAGTATGAGTGCCTAATATTGAGCCTTATGTTAATATATTAATGTTTACGTTTTCATTCAGCATTATTAAAGGACAATAACACTTCAGAATGGGACTGCAGAATTCCAGAGAGGCCATAAAGTAGTCAGCATTTTCTGGACTGTTATCTTGAGATCATGACTTATTTGGCTTGTGATGTCAACATAAGTTGTTTTCTCTGTCACAACTTATTTTTCTTGTGATCTCAAGATAACAAAAGTTGTTTTCTTCAGATAGCAACTTATTTTTCTTGTGATCTCAAGATAAAAGTTGCTTTCGCCAGATCACAACTCAGATCACAATCTTGAGATCACAAGTGTTTATCTTGAGATCTCAAGATGATAGTCCAGAAAAACTACCTCATGGCCTCTCTGGACTGGCACAGTGGAGTTCAGTCTCCTCCATTCAGGCTGGTTTCTTAACACGGAAATATGAAACAAAAGCACTACAATGTAAAAAAATCAGATAAAGCAAAAAACTCCAGTGTGGTAAAATATGAGAGGAAACAAAACAAGAACTTTTCAGCTTAACTTTAAAGCTAAATTATGTAACTTTTTTTAATTTCCCTGCCTGATTGGAGGTGCCACTGCAGCCATGTTGGTCCCTAGATAATGCTCTAGCAGCAAGTTTACGATGAATTCCACCTTAAAATTCTGCATAATGAAATTTTGGAGATGTAAACAGAGTCATTCAGAGTGGTTTGATGTGAAATGGTTAATTTACAGACTCAGATTTCTTTACAGTGGTGCTGGTGGGAGCTGTGGGTCAGTGTCACAACAAAACCTCCGAAATCACAGGAGAAGGAAAAAAACATTTTAATGTAAGCTATGGGAACAAGATTTTGAACATTTTTTTAATTAGGAAATTTAATGCGATTAAAATGCGATTTCTTTGGGGACTGTTTTGCCTCACAGTGCCCTGAAAAAATCTGTCCACCATGAATAGATATTTAAAAATGTTCTGCCCTCATGGTGTGTTTACGATTCCCCAGCAGAGTTTGGCTGACAGCCGACATACGGCTCGAGAAAATGTTGGTTGTAATTGATCGTGTTTGCTCTGAATTCCTTGTATTTATCTTTGTGAAACTGAAAGAAGTGAAAGAGAACATTACAAATATCGAGATGATTAATAGGAACATTAGCAGTATTCATTGTTTAATGGTGTTGTGCTTAAGTAAGCTTCACCAGCCACTTCAGTCAGCTACACAGAACAGCACTGAAAAGCATACAATATACTTTGTAACACTGTCTAATACTTGGATAAATATATGATTAATACAGTATTTCTTAAGTTAATGTTTCAAGTATCCTGTAATGCAGCTTTGATAAATGTGAACAAAGATGTTTTAAATTGGTAATGTTTGCTAACTGTAGTTGCCCAATAAAAGAAGCATAAAATATCACACAACTTCAGAAAAATAATTGTAAGTTCATAAAAGAAAATATTTCCATGTGACACCCTTGTCTGTTTCTTCCCTTAAAAGATTGGTTCTTCAAGGGTTCTTTGGTAGACACGAGGGTTCTATATAGAATCATGAACCCTCTTATTGACCAGGGCATATTTTGGTTTTTCCATCTGAATTTACACCAAATCGTAAGGCAAATTATTCAGTAACTGCATGAAATAACTAAATTTTTTTACTTTATTAATTAATTTATTTTTTGTAAAAGCTCCCCTCAAATTAACACGTTTTATGATCATACACATATTGCTATATGCTTACAATTTACTGCTGAAAGCGAAAAATCTCAAATGCTCTTTGTATTATTTTATAAAAAAAAATGTTTACAGAGCAGATCACTGAAGAGACGCCATCTGTTTATAGTTCATAGCCCAGAGTTCAGCTTCTTTTATTATAAGGGTTTAAAATTACCCATCTATTTGACTGGAAAGAGGACAGTTACAGCTCTCATATGACACCCACCTTTTAAATGTAGCTTATGAAATATGAAAGTTATGAAGAATATGAAGAAGTACGTTTTGGGACCACCGGTGGTCTCAAGGAGTTGAAAAGGTTAAAGAACCATTTGCATGCTGAAGTGGTTCTTTGCAGGGTGAAATGCCTTTTCAGATTGTTGTATATGGTTCTATATAGCACCATCTTCAAAATTGTTCTATATAGAACCATATACAATACCAGTACCACCTGGATCAGTCTGAAGAACCATTTAAACATGAAATGGTTTTATATTATAAAAAAGTCCCTTTTACATCATTAGAAGTACCTTCGTCCGGTCCGCCGGATGTGACGTATTCCGCAGCTGTCGGAAAGGCAGCGGTAGCAGAGCGTTGTGCAGAATAACAGAAGCATTATCAGCTATTAAACAGCGATGTAATGTAAGTTAAACTGCATATAAACTAACAAATTAAACACACAGCTGTATACTTACTGGTAACTGCACTGCTGCATGTGAATGTTTGTATTTATAGTCTGTAGTGTCGTAGTTGTGAGCTGCTCTGCTGCTAATGCTAGCTAGCTAGCTGAGAATAACTGGAACGTTATAACGTTACATAAAAAGGTTTTAAAAATGTTTGGCAGCTGAATCATTAACTTGATTTAGTCAACACATGTTTAACGGTGTTAATCTCTATATTTGCTTCACCTGTTGTTTTTGGGTCTGATATTTACCCGAGGCTGAAGTTGGCTTCTTTTCCGCCAGCTTCTTATTCGAATTCTCCCATTCCACCTTAAAATGTGCGACAGGTGCGTTCCAGCCTCAGGCGCCAGAATGGAACTGCTGCACTGTTTAAGGTGGAACGAGGAAATTAGAACAAGAAGCTGACTCGAGCTGCGTGATATTTACAGCTGTTCACAGCTGTACACATTAGCGAGCCAGCTAACCTTCAGTTTTATACTTTTACACACAAAATCTAAATATAATAATCTAAATATTAAATAAGAGCTGCGGTGTCACAGCGGACCATAGCAAATAGATCTGTGCCTCTTCCCTCCTTTATTCAGATGACTGAGTACTGAGTACCAGAGCTTTTCGTTATGCCCAGTGTCATGTTGTTTGGCTTTGCTGAAGCCTGCAATGGCCATGACATTCACAACCTGTCATGTACACTATGGACCTGTTTCCCAGGCCTGGATTAAGCCTAGTCTTGGACTAAATTTCAGTGTCAGTGGAGAACTACCGCTGGATATGCTTTTTAGCCTAGATATAGGCTTAATCTGTGTTTAGGAACTGGCACTTCATGTTTAAAAGTTTGTAGACAGTCGTTCATAATGCATTTCCTCTGAAATCATGAGTATTAAGAGGGAGTTTGTCCTCCTTTGCTGCAGTAACAGCCTCTACTCTTCTGGGAAGGCTTTACACTAGATGTTTGAACATTGCTGTATTCAGCTACTGAGGCATTAGTGAGGTCAGGTACTGATGTTGGATGAACAGTTCTGGATAACTCCAACTCATCCCAAAGGTATTAGATGGAGCTCCATCACTTCACTGCTCCACAGCATTGCTGGGAGGCTTTATACCACTCTGGTAAAACCTAAGGCTCATGTGCAGCTGCTAGTGTCCCATTCTCTTGGTCAGTGCTTTTCTATGGAGATTATACAAGCTGTGGGTGCTTACAGTGGCTCAGTTCACTAATGAAAAGGGCTGTGTGGGTACATTAGGAAAAATGGACAACACTGTATCATTTGGACAGTGTATCAATGTCGTATCACATTTTAGCTGTTGATATGCTTCAGTAGCTTGAAGGTCCACATCCTCAGTGCTCAGCTACTCAGTACAGCTTTAAAGATGTGTTATGCATTAATTTGCACTCCTATTTCCTCTCTTAATTCAGGCCCTGATCATCCTGGTACCGAAAGAGGGAACCCCCTGGCCACAGGCCCGCTGTGACCATGGCCTCAGAACTCCACGAAGCAATATTCACAGCCAAACAAGAACGACACAAGAACCTCTTCCTAAACTATAGGAACCTGAACATCTTTCCCGTGGAGCTCCTTAAAGATGAGGGTTTGCAGTTCTTGGAAAGGCTCTACATGAAACGAAACTCCCTCACGACACTGGTAAGACAAGATAAAGTTGGTTTTCACTGATGGGTATTGACTTTATACTCATGAATATTATTTTTTATAACTCTGCTTTTTTTTGCAGCCTGATAATCTAGCACAGAAGCTTCCCAACCTGATTGAATTGTGAGTATTGAATTGTTGTCCTGTGATTGTTCTGTTTAGTGGCAAGTGTGATTGTTGATGAATGATAAGCATTGGATCCAGATCATGAAAGTCTGTGTGTTAGATCTCAGTATTCTTCAGTTCTTGCCTGTATATTGTAGAAAGTGTAAACGACTTGCGTTCAATATCCCTAATGACCAGCAGATGTCACCTAATGAGCATGTAGACGTGTGAGTGATCTACTTAAAAAACATGCATGGAATGTCTGTCATTTATACTAACAACAAATAGCTTATGTCGTCTTCTGTTCCTGGTCCCAAATAATGCCCCAAATCTCTGTTTTTAAACTGTAGGTATCTGCACTCAAACAATATTGCCATCATTCCGCAAGGTAGTTTCACAATCAGTTGTGTTTCTATTTTACTTCATTTTTGTGTAGGTTTTCTATGTAACTAATGGCTGTAATTGAACTCACAGCTATTGGGAACCTCGTCAAACTGCAGTCTCTGGATCTAAGTGACAATGCACTGCAGGTGATCTGCCCAGAGATTGGACGGCTGCGGTCATTACGGCATCTGCGATTGGCCAACAACCAGCTGAAGTTCCTTCCACAAGGTGTGTATTAATGAATAAATAAATAATGCAAATATTTTGGGGTTTTATTTCATGTAGTGATTTTATTTCAACACAGTCAAAATGCTGACCAAATAAGACGTTTGGATATAGTCAGTCAAAATCATATGAAATTAAAACATTATTTTGACATAATCAGTGAAAATCTCCCAAAAAACAAGACATTATCTTGACATAATCAGTCAAAATCTAGAGAAAAAAAAACATTATTTCAACATAACAGTCAAAATATAAAGAAAATTAGACATTATTTGGACATAATCAGTCAAAATATCGGGAAAATAAGCCAGTATTTGTACATAGCAAGTCATAATTAAGACAAGCCATTATTTTAACATAAGTCAAAATCCTGAGAAAACAAAGCAATTATTTTGACATAAGCAGTCAAAACTCAAGAAAATATTATTTCAGCATAATAAAGATTTCTAAAAACAAGCTATTTTGAGGTAAAAATTCCTGACATGCCTGTCAGCAACAGAGCAGAAAAAAGAGGTGACATTTTTCTTCTCTACCTGGTGAGACTAGGCTTCCAGACTAATGTACTCCTTTGCGTTGTGGCATGACTTATTTCTGCTTAGATGTCACAGCAAACTGTGAAGCATTATCACTGATCATCTCAGAAAAACTCTTTGATTTATGGTAAGTTTATAAAAATACATGGAAAATATAACTTCATAAAATCATGCTCACACAGTTATTTCCCTTAAAGGTCACATTTATGATCAAATGAAATTGGGAGTGCATCTGCTCCATTTACTCCATTGCGCAGGTGACAACCAATACTAACCTTATCAATCAGACATGACAAGCATGTTTCCTAATTATGGTTCTTATTAAATAAACATATTAATATAAACAAACAATTATAAATGCCATTCAAATTGTAATTTAAAAATTGTCACAAGCCTGAAAAATATGAATTCCACCATGCTACATTAGTATCTACTATGTGTTCTTGTTTGCATATTTTTGGGGGACTTTGCTAACATTACAGAGAAATGTGTTTATTTCTGTAGAGTTACAAATGCAGTAAAATGAATAAAATGCAGATATTTTAGCCCAGTAGCCCAGCTTCACCTGAGCATTCTGTTTTTCATCACTGAACATGGGTTGAAGTATTTATTGGTCAAAGTAAATATATTTCTGAAGCTGATAATGTCTTATCAGAATGATAAAGCAATTATCTGCCGATTCTGATATGATATTGGTATTATTATGTAGCCCTACTAAACAGTGCACTGACATCGGATCTACTTTCATTATCAGCTGATTCCCTGAGTTCAGATATTGGAACCAGGCTTTGTTTTGTCTCCCACAGACTTCCATTGTGGCCTAGAGAAGAGGCTCATTGTTGTTTTGAATTAGTTTGAGGCATGTAGTGACAAAGGTTCTCAGTATTGTTGAAGTCCTGAAAAATGGGATGCCTTTATAAACTATTTGTTTTGTTAGCATTGTCACTTATATGAGTCTCTTGGGAGTTGTTTGAGGTTGGATTTTCATGTTTCTCTACGGAAAGAATAGCATATTACAATTATATTGCTTTATACTGCAGTTGTGGTATGCCTAGCATTGTCTGGAAAACACTTTGGCAGGCTTTTGATTGTACTGTGTCATCAAAACAGCCACAAAAACTCATCTGGAATGTTTGAGATGTTGTACAGACTTGTTCGCTTTCTGCAGTATTCAGCAAATTCACTATTGCAATTATTATTAGCAGGTGATATATTGTGCAGCACCAGTACAGTGAGGTGTCAGATGGAGCACACCCTGCTCCTGCTCCTTGGCAGAAGTATGTTTCTGGGCTGGGTGATGAGGCCCTGGCACCACCACTAAATCAGCCTCCTGCTTTTTTGGCAAAGGCTTTCTGTTCCTTCTCCTTCTCTGCTTTCCTAATTTAGCAGAAGTGAGTAAAAATCTGCTGTAAAAATAGAGTCTGATACCTCAGGCAGGTGCTCAGAGAGCACAGATCGTGTTTTTCTCTTCCAGAGCAGACGGTGCAGGATGTACAGCCAAAATCCTCTTTAGGTGATTCCTCATAAGCTTTGATTATTATTACAGCTTCATCATTCATCATTTTACAGCCTAATTAGTAGAGGTGAAAGAAAAGCAATACGTTATAATATGCAATATTTTAGGTTTAAATATGGTATAGATACACAGAGGTTCAGGTAAATTAATTATTAATATTTTTAATTGTTTTAATTGCAGTGTGTTAAGCCTGTTGTTTGACAGTTAGATTACCAAACTGCTTTTCTGTCTTAATCCACAAAATTAGAGGTGCTATTAGAGAACTTGGAAGAGTTATCACTCTGTAATGTCTTCCAGGTTTCTCAAATGCTAGAGGGTGCTCCCAAGTGAGTCCAAAATGAATGGGTTAAGATGGAACATTTTAGCAAAATCATAGTTTATAAATGCTTAAACATTTTAGTATAAAAATAATACATTCATTTTCCAAACACAGAACAGTACAAAACATAAACACTGCTGTTATATTTTTAAGAACTTTTGAACTCTTTTAAAATGGCACCTCATGTACATTCATGACATCTGTGAGCGTGAAACAGCCAATGAGCTTCTCCGCTCACCAACCAATCAGCACTCAGTAGAAAAGATGCTAGCGTCCTAATGCCCAAAACCCATTTGCTGTAGAAAAAAAAATGTAGGGGTTAGTTTTCTGTGCTTTTTTAGTAAAATACATCCTTCTACATTCTAAAATTAAAGGAAAGTTCTGTGTAAGTGATTAGAAACTATTTTAACTTTTTGTTTTTAGCTGTTTAGCTCCATTCACCCCCATTTGTTGAGGACTCACTCGTGGGTGCCCTGCGGGCATTTTGCAGCCCTGTTTTTGATATAACGGGGGAAATAGGAAGAGGCCAGCCTCCTCATAAACTGGCTCTGGTGCTGTATCTTTCGGGTGGGACCAAGGTTTCTGTCACAAGGTTTTGGGCAGGACTTGGAAACTTCAATCTAATTGTAATACGATTCTTTGGGGAAACTCCTAAACTTCCATCTGCCACTGTAAATTGCTCTGGAGTACTTACATAGCCAGGTTAAAGGGGCCAGCTAGCAAACATTATGTCCCAGAGGCATCACTATAGTGAGGATGATGACCACCAACTAGCCTACTTCATTGTAGCAAAGCCATTCAAAAAGTACCTACTTGTTGCCAGTATCAGAGGTAAATGTTTCTGACTATTAAGCACTGTAACAACTGACAGCACAAAACAGGTGAAACTGAAGTTGACTTTTTATTTGGCAGCCTTGTTCCACTTTAAATGGTTCAGCAATTACATTTTGGTATATAAGACTGTAAGAAACCAACTTCAGCCTCGTACACAGGTAAAGGCTAATTAAACAGAGTCCTTCCTTTTACAGCACTAGGCATAGATGGTGTTTAGAGCAAATGATTGAAGATTGCATGTTCTTGTGTCTTTTTCAAAGTCTTGAGTTTTTTTTTGGTTTTTTTTTTACTGCTACTTGCTAATTAGATCAGTAATCTGTAGGAACCAGACAGATCTTGTGGACTGCCCTCTCTAATACACACTGGATACACAATCTGGAGGCTTAGAGGGCCACTGTAAAACTTTGATTCAGTGTGATTCAGTCAGTTTGATTTGTTCAGTATTAGAAGTTGGTTGCATTTTTTGCTTCTCACAATCCAAGTAATCCCAAACACATTCAGTGATGTTGAGGTCTGGACTCTGGGGTGGTCAGTCCATTGTTCTGAGAACACCAGCAGCTTCTTTGTTTGATTTGTCAGTTTTCTTTGCTCAGTGAGGCTTGACAGCTGTACATCCTTTCAGACCCATAAGAGTTGTCTTCTCACAGTGGAAGGATGAACAGAAGCATCTGTGGACTTTTATTAAGAGCTGAAGCAAGAGTGGAGCTTGATTTTCTCTAGTCTCTCAAATAGGGCCCTTTGAAACTCCTTTTATTTTTATTTTTTTATTTGTTTATTTTGATCCCGCACCTGCTCGTACTGCACTTGTTAACCACCTGCATCTGCTCGCGACACTGAAAATTAGCCCTGCACCGCAAGATATTGTGGCTGCAGAAATGCAGACCTCTAAGTTAAGGAACTGGAAATGTTCTGCATGGGGAAGCTGTCCAAAATCCCTCACCAGGTGTTCTCCAACCTTTACACAATGCTGTTACTTTACAAAATGCTGATGGGAGGCTTCATCAAATATTAGCAAAGGAAGTGCCAGTATTTTTTAGATCTACAAAAGAACCTACTAAAGAAAACTTTTTTTGGTTTAAAAACATAGTTTAAGAATAACAGTATGCATCTTAACCATTTGTTTAAGCCCAGAATATCTCTCGTTGCATGTGTGGGTTTTTTAATATATTGATTTTTGGCTCATTCTCATGATTGGTGCCGTTAATTCTGTTGACTGTACATAAACATAATGACAATATTTTTAAATGTTGATTTCACAAGTGAGAAGAACAGACTCTACATTTCATTAGATAAAATGGAAAGCTTCTTTTGGACAAATAATTTGGAGAGAAAAGTAAAAAATCTCAGTATATCACAGTACAAATCTTTAAATATCACTGTAGAATCATATCATGGCTCGAGTATAAAGTGCCATATTGTGGGACCTCTGGTGATTCCCTTCCCTACCTTTCATTACAGAACAAATGATGGCATAAAACTGATATAATTATGATATAATTTGAAGAAACTTGGGCTGCTTATTGCGGTCTGAGTGTTGCTGGTGTCACAGGATGATGGCTTCCAGACCTGAGTGTGCGTTCCGATGGCTCGATTTTTAGATGCTTAGTATGCTTTTTAATTATTCCCTGCTCTCATCAATGCTTTTATCTCCTCATAGAAGACACTGATAAGAGAAATGGGATTTTATTGTATATATAAGCATCATACATCTTGTGCTGAATTTAGGTTTCTTCTAAAGTGCAGAAAAGACTGTATGTTTGGCTCCCATTTTACTGTGCATTGGCATCAATTTCAGTCAGCAGAGGGCAGCAAATCCTGGAAAATGTTAACAGTGCAGTCCACAGGGGTAAAATTCTGTCCTTACACTGATTTCTTACAATGGGTTACAGTTATTCAGCAAATGAGTCAGTGCATCCAGAAATCTTACATATTACCACTGTGCAAGAGTCAGAGACCAACCTTCATTTAATTAATTCCCAGTCAAAATGGCCATTTAGTCCAAGTTTTTTAGCATCAGAAAAAAGGCAGGAAAAAGTATTTCACAGAAAATTATATGGACACCTCAAGAACGAAATATAATAATTTTTTTCAGTATTTAGGGTGTTCACCCTTTGCCTTTATTATAGCTTCCTTTCTCGCTTTCTGTTTTTCAGAAAAATCTGCAGGGATATTTTTCCACACCTCCAAAGTTCAGTCTTAGAAGTTGGTTGCGTTTTCTGCATTTCATGATCCGCACATTCAGTGATGTTGAGGTCTGGACTCTGGGATGGTCAGTCCATTGTTCTGAGAACAGCAGCAGCGTGTTTGTTTCATGTGTCTGTCTCCATTTCTCAGTGAGGTTGACAGCCACACATCCTTTCAGACCCATAGCGCTGAGTTGTCTTCTTTAAGTACTGTTTATCTGATGGGGGCAGTTTTGGTGTCTGCCAGGTCTTGCACTGTTGTTAGGAGTCCCATTTTCTCTGTAGCTTTTTATAATTTTCTGAACTTTTGAAAGTTTTGAAAACTAGTGTTTTTTCACTTTTTGTCTTTTAACTTTCTCTTTCCTTATGCCAGTGGATTATCTTCATATCTAATGTACTCAGAAATATCTCCTGAAAAATGAAATTACTTGAAAAAACTTGCAATTAAATAAATGATGGGCTTTTGCATCAGTATAATAAAGACAATAAAGATGTTATACTGAACTTTGTTGAATATCAAAGTATACAGTTATAACTGATTGGTGCAGTTGAATCTTATTTTTATTTCTAGGCAACAGCAACAGAATGATGTGTTTTTATTTGTCTGTCTGTCTGGGTGATATGTTAGAACTGGGCGATTTGAAGGAGCTGGAGACTCTGGACGTGTCCATGAACCTTCTGCGGACTCTTCCAGAGCGGCTTGCCCAGTGCCTGTCCCTGCAGTGCCTGACCGCTGACCGCAACCGGCTGCACTGCATCCCCCGGCAACTCTGCCTGCTGCCTGACCTCAACGAGCTCTCCATGGCCGCCAACTGCCTGACCTCGCTGCCCCTGGGTGAGCCCCACCTTCTGTCTGCATCAGTGGTCACCAGCCTTCCTGCTGGAGATCTAACTTCATATCCGTTGCAACCCCAATCCCATAAAACTTTGAATGATGGTGGTGCTGTCACACTGCAAAGTTAGGGGAAACAAAAGATGACATAATGGTACTATTAGTCAATTAATAGTCACATTTATTAAAATTACACTACCGCTCGGAAGTTTGGAATCATTATTTAAACATTTGAAATCGTTGGTTTTAACAGTATAAAACTAGTTTTTGTGGATGTAGCTATACAGTTATATGATGCTAATATACTGAAGGTTTCAAACTATTTCTATGAAACTAAAAATTAAGACATTTTCGAATGATGAATGGAGGGGTAGATAATTCCACAATAACTGATAAAGCTGTGCTTCATTGAGAATTAATTTGTTATTAAATTAACATCCAGAATGCCTCATATTTGAAAAGCGGTCACCAAATCTTGCTAGTCTGGCCAAATAGCCATTCATTGTGAATTTTGTGACAACATTACTATACATAGATAATTATGTTAATTAATTAATAATATTTACTATTTCTTTTATTCTGTCATAACCCCAAAATACTAATATATGAATAGACCATAGGTTTATGTTGTGGCTTCTTGTTTATAAATGTTTGAATCTAAATTGTTATTTATTATATATAATATGTTATTAGTGAATAACTACTATTAATACAAGTAACTTCAAACCTTTGAATAGTACAGTATTTTAGAGTAATAGATTAATAGCCAGTCGATAATCAGTTATAGTCATAATCATGAGGTGCAACCCTAGTAGAAAGGTAGATCTCCAGGAGCTGCATTGGTGACCGCTGACCTACACCTGCATGTTGAGTCATTCTAGTCAGGCTTTTTAATTCAGAGCAGGCAGGACAGTAGAGGTGTCTCTCTGCCAGAACAAGTGTTCATATGGAGTGATCGCTTGGGGTGCAAGTCTGTTACACAGGTGGATTCACTGGTTGGTCCATTTGGCGTGAACAAGCAGAAGCACAAAGACTCTTGAATGACATCTCACACACAGTAGGGCTGCAACAATTAGTCGTCAAAGTCGATTAGTCATTGATGACATCAGTTCTGGAAAGAAGTTGAAAAAACTGACGTGCTGTGTAATAGGGCTGTTAGCTGGGCTCAGAAATCTATTTTAAGGTTTGTGTGTTGAATATTTAAATATATTCAAATGTGAAATAAATTATTTTTCAGGCTGCAAAGGAAAAGATTAGGATATATGCAGTAACTGCAATAAATATGAAACGTGCAATAAACAAAATTTGGCACAGGGTAGTAGGCTTACGTTTCAGACAATAGACCTGATGTTAGGAGGGAAATTTTGAAATTGTTTTATCATTCAAAAATAGCAGAGGGAAATCATTTTTTTTGTGCTGAATGGGCAACTGAGGCTGCCTCTTCAGATGAGCTAATGAGCTAACTGTGCTAACCAGTACAGTGTTGGATGTTGATGAGGGCTCATTGTTTTCTATGCAAGGTCTTCTCTCCTCAGTAGATGATGTGCTAACATAAACGCCTGTGCAAAAAAATGGGCCAAGATGGCCCAAAATGACAAAACATTAAGCTTTAATGGTCTTAACAACAAATCATTAACCAAATAGATAAAGTAATAAAGTAAATATGGGAGAGCTTTTCCCTTTGCTTTCTTTAAATGTTGAAGATTTGCAGACAATTTTTTACAGAGAGAAAAATCAGTATTTTACCACTCAGCATTGATGGCTTCAGACAGTTGAAAAGCATTGCCGAGCTAGTTTATGTTTAATATGAGACCATATATTCTCTATAGGGTTTAAATCTACTCTGACCAGCGAAAACCATCAGTCAAAAACATTATATTTGGGCTTGGCCCATTTTTTGCCCAGGAGTATATTAGTTTTAGCTTTAAAACTCCACTGTTACTTTCTCTGGTTATTGCACAAAACATGCAGAAGAACAGTTTGCATTGGTGATTGTGCTTCGGGCTCCTTCCTTGAGTGGATGAATCTGATGATTGTAAGTGCTTTGAAAAAAGAATTCAAAGAGAACTTAGTCAAAACGTGGTGAAGGACGTGTCTTCCAAGTATGTGAAAATATAAACAATGAGCCAAACATTAATTTTAAGCCTGTGCCTGTGACATAAACATGAAAAAATGTATGATGCGGTCAGAAAAACGCAACCTAATGCCTCTGACTTTTAAATCAATATGTCAGTCTTTACAGAGCAACACACACAATGTTTTAATGTGTTCTTTTTCTCCTGACTCAGGTACACTTTAAAAAAGAAAAAGGTAGAAAACTCTCACTGGGGCAGTACCACTCTTGTCACTGGGGTGGTAGCCTCAAGGGTGCATAGGAGCATAATTGTATCATAATCCATTGAAATTATATTTTCTAAATTGTACTGACTCCACACACCCCGTCTCGTCTCCAGGCTTTTTATTTCACTGTTTTGTTTTAAAACATTAGGTTATGAAAAGGTACAAATGCGTACTTTTCACCTGGAAAAACTTACTTAAGGTTCACAGTTGGACCTCAAAACCATTGTTGTACCTTTTAGGGAACATTTACATTGTTTGTACCATGATGAATGAAAAATGTACCTGCGCAGAACCTTTATTTCTAACAGCATAAGAAGCTTAGGGCACAATATTGCTTCTAAATCGTTTGTTGCACATTTAGAACGTGGTGATGAATGATGCAGACATAGTGAAAGGGCAGAGTGAGAGGAAATCTCACAAGAGATGATGGTTTGATTTGTCAATTAATCCAAAAATAGTCAATAGATTAATCAGTTATAGAAGTAATTGCTTGTTGCAGCTCTAACACACACAAGCAACATTTCATGCAAAGACATTTTTAAGCAAAAACCTTCAACAAACTTATTCCCTCATTCTTTATTTCCTCCACTGTGTGCAGCGTTTCAGACTGCAGCCCCCTGGCTGGGCTCAGGGCCTGTGGCTGTTAGTTGAGCTTGAGGTACGGAGGGGGTCACATGGCACTGCAGGTGCTGTGGTGGGCCGCCCGCTGTGAGGGACCCCAGGGGCATTGTGGGTGATAATGAGCCAGGAATGCGACTCATAATGGTGTTCACACTGCTTCCGCTCTCTCTCTCTCTCTCTCTTTCTCTCTCTCTTTCTCTCTCTCTCTCTCTCTCTCTCTCTCTCTCTCTCTCTCTCTCTCTCTCTCTCTCTTTCTTTCTCTCTCTCTCTCTCTCTCTCTCTCTCTCTCTCTCTCTCTCTCTCTCTCTGTGCTCAGCTATACACAGCTTCAAAGGCTTCCAATCTCCAAAGCAGCCATGATAGCATCTAACTCAAGTTTACCTCAAGGACAGAGTATCTCCCTCAGTCAGCTGAGCGCTTTGATTTCAGGCTCCGCTATGAATGAGTTTACTGTGCACCCTCAAGATCTGATAAATGTACATAATATTTCTGCTTCCACTCTTACTGCTTCTGCATAGGCAATGATTTTGTAAAAGCCATCTTTATTGGACTGTATAGTGACTAATTGCAGACCTCCCTGGCAGATCTGGGGCGCTCCATGGAGCTGCAGTTTGTGTTCGTGGACAACAACGTTCACCTCAAAGGCCTGCCGTCTTACCTGTATAACAAGGTCATTGGCTGCAGTGGGTGAGTAGCCAGAGTAATGACAATACAGTAGGAGTTGAAAATTGATGTTTATTAGAAAGATCCTGTCAGTGTCCACTAGGGTGCGGGAAAAAAATCGATTCTTAGATGCATCGCGATGCGGACGTGAACGATTCTGAATTGATTCACAAATGTCAAAAATCGATTTTCTAAATTTAAATTTGTAACGTAATGTTGACGGAACGCAAAAGGCGGAACCTGTAAGTGCGGAAGTGCAGCGCCCGGACAGTCTGGGATGCGCACATAACAAAAACACAACTGGATGAGTGAGAAATCCGACCGGCTCCCTCTGCATTAAGAACCAGGTTATATCAGGAGCCACAACCCAAATGATAAGAAGAGCCATTTTGTCCTTTCAACAAATATCAAACCACCTTGGGAGCCACAACATTTAATGTCCAGTTTACATTTAATGTTCTACTATAGGCTAAAAAATATAAACGAAAACGCAGATTTACTTTGCTCTGCTTTAAGCTTCAGCTATAGCCGCTTTTCTTTCACCTCCACCAGAAAACTTTTCCTCAAAAGTTTAATAGTTTCTTGTAAAATGTCTCTCAAAGCTTGACTGTTTTACGAGGCTGAAGTCGCTTCTTATTCTCCAGCTTCTTTTCCTATTTAAGGTGGAACGGGAAAATTCGAAAGAGAAGCGATTTCAGCTGTGTGACTTTTTAGTGTTTGACAGTTTCTTGTTGCAGATTTAACGTACCAGGAAACCAACTGCGCTGCTTATAAATAAGTCCATTCGTCTCCAAATGTTCGTCTGTCTTTCTCTTTTCCTTTTTTGTTCACTACTCGCTTGGCGAAACCTCGTTGCTAGATGACCTGCAGTCTGAACGCCAATTCTCAGTCGTTGCGAAACAGGGCTTTCGCGCTATGTTGCACACGTCCCGTCTTGAAGATATTTTACTGACACAGCGATTTCCCAACTCTCTACAACGAGACCAAAACCGAAGTTATAAAATCACTAAAGAAAATGGGGAGGACAGCTGTAACGTGCTGCGTAGACATCCATCCCCAATGGATCTTATTTCACCCTAACAGCGCATTTTATCGCAGATGAGTGGCAGCAGCGTCTCATGCGCTCCAAACAATAAAAGATATTGGAAGTAAATGCATTATGGATCATTACAAATACTTTGCTTTAAAACTACCAAGTCCTCAGACAGTAAGAAAATACACATCTTGTAGAGAAAAAAAAGATGCATCGATAATCGTTTTATAATCGCATCGCAGCCCTCTGAATCGTAATCGAATCGTGAGGTGCCTGGAGATTCCCATCCCTAGTGTCCACCTAGGCATGCACTGATATAGAAGTTGTGGGCTGTATAATGCAGAAATCCAGTAATTTTCATGCACGGTCAATTACATGTGTTGATTTTCTAAGTGAAAACACCCTGTACAGACACACTTCTGCACATTTTAATATTTGCATATTTTGAATTTAATGATTTAATGTTTTTCCCCCAATATGTTAAATTCAAATAAGTAGAGACTAGAAACAAAAAAAGGGGAAAAATGACACATTTAGTGGTTTCTCTCTAGAGGATGTGATGCTGATACATATTTGTTTGTAAAATATACAATTTGGGATTACATCTAGTTGGAATAGCATTGCGAAGAAATATAACATTTATTTCTGTAGGATTACATATGCAGTAAAATGAATAAAATGCAGAAACCCAGCTTCACTGTAACATTCTGCTCTTCCAGGGCACAATAAATAAATCAAATATTGGTTTGAAACACCTGGAAAATATAAACATCTGTCCGATCATCGTACATCCCTACTCCCAAATACTCTGATTCACATAATTCTGACTCTGGCTTAAGTCTAACATTTCACATGATCAGGGCTGGATTTCCCAAAAGCATCTTGGACAAAGTTGTTTCTTAAATGGTAGAGCAAGCATCACACTGAACACTCTCTCTACCAGTTAAGATGATCTTAACACTAAGATGCTTTTGGGAAACCAGGCCTAGGACAGTTAAAGTTATACTCAAGCTCTTTGCTGTCATAAAGCATAAATTTTAGGAATATTCCTTGTGGATAATCTTGTTCAACAGGCTGTGTGTGTGTGTGTGTGTCTGTGTATTTGTATGTGTGCAGGTGTGGTCTGTCCCTGCAGGTGTCTGATGTGAAACAGCTGTCGCTGGCCCTCGGAGATCTAAGTGTGCCTCTGCCTTCAGAAGTGAAATCTATTGGCTCAGAGGCTGACCGGGTGCTGACCCTGGAGGAGATGGCCATGAGGACGCTGCATGTAGCCTACAGCCGGCCCAGGAAAGGTGACCCTGTCATCAGCCTTCTCCTGACTTATTTATTCTATAAACAATATGTACACTTACCGTTTACTAGAAGAATCCTACAAATTTAAGCCCTTGAATTACAAAGAACTGTATGTGGGTCCACATCTCAGCTCCTCACTCATAACCCACATACTGTTGTATGCAGAATTTTGGTCAAATCCTGGTCAAATGTCATGCTCTGTTGATTTTTAGTGAAAATAGGTTAACATCACAATTTCTGAATTTCAGCGCAATTTCTATGTTTTTGCCGAGTTGAAGTTTTTGAAAAAATAGTGAAATATGCTATAACATTTGCATAGGCCACATTTTACGTTTATTTCCCCCCCAAGATGTTACCGGGGTGCCTAAACTTTTGCTCACAACCATACCTTACGTATTAGTTTCGTTGTAGTTACTGAATAATTCGTAATATTTGCTAAATAACAAGTTTTAAGATTTTTTTAATGCCACCTTGTCCATTTAACAACAAGGGGAGTGGGAGATCATATACAGACACTCTTCTTATTTGAAAAATATTGTATCTTTGAAAACCACACTCAGTCAGACTCTTTTCAGACCGTACTATAAACTACTATTTTATATTATAACTTCAGAATCTGGGCCAGATAGTGTTGCCATTCCTTTCTTCATTATAATTTTGCCTCATCTTACTTTTTTTTTTTCTCTCCCTTCTCAGATGCGAAGTTCTTGTCCCCATCCCTGCTGCCCAACAGTCTGCTGGACCTGCTTCAGTGTCCACTTGGTCACTGCCACCGCTGCAGTCAGCCTATGTTCACTATTGTCTACCCCAAGCTTTTCCCCCTCAGAGAGACTGCGCTGGCTGGAGTACATGGAAGGTATGGTTTAGAATTAAAGCTACGAGGCTAATGTTGCTAACAAACACCGGAAATCAGTAGTCACCCAAACCATTTTTGTATATACATCCCCAAAACCTCTGTCAAGCTTGTTTAAACTGCATCCAGGTCTTAATTCAGGTTGCACAGACAAGTTGATGTGGTGTAGAATGCAGTATGACTCACTATCAACTATATACATTAAAATAAATCGTGTGTAGCTAAAAGAAGGGGCAGTCATTTAGGATACTTCTTTCTTTAGCACAGTTTGGTATCACGCAAGACGACCAAAGATCGAGCCATAAGGGAGTTTATAGCACAGACGCACAGTAGAGTAACGTAGATAGAGAAGCTATGTGTACTCAGAAAATCAATACAGTGTTGGGCAATGAATTTGAGGACCACATTTTCTGCACAGATGAGCCTCAGCCATATATTTGTACCTGAACACACACAAAGAAATGAGTAGCAGTATTTATAGCACACACCCCGCACTCCAGCCTCCCAGAGTTTGAAGGTGCTGTTTTGTCTACAAAAACATTTACATTTATGACATTTGGCAGATGCTCTTATCCAGAGCGACTTACAATTTGATCTGGTTTACACAGGTTGGCGAAGGTGGTGTTATGAGTCTTGCCCAAGAACTTATATAGATATAAGTATAAAGATATAGGGTAGAGTGCTTGAACCCCAGTGTACAGTGTAGAAAGCAAAGGTGTTACCCACTACACTATACCAGCTGGAAAACAGGGCATTATGCAGATGATAATGCAGTTCCAGTTTAACTTGAATGTGTAAATGTCTGTCCTTGTCATTTTTCCAGATTTTTATTTCTAAACAAATTTATGTAGCTAGTCGACATAATTTGAAGCAAATATATGAAAACTTTTGCACGAATGTAAGGAAATGGTTTTGGTGACTATTGACTTTCAGTATTAGAAAACACTGTCACAGCTCCAGTTCTAAACTAAAAGAAGCACAATTTGGACATCAAACATGCTAGTAAACTAATGATTATTTACATATTAGATTATTCAATTATCCATTTAATCCACTAATGAAGCTATTAAACATTCTGCAGTTTTTGTCCTATACATATTCTTTACCTTGCCTATGTTCTTTGCCTGTCTGTGTGACAGATTTCTTCTTTCATAGTGCAGCAAAAACAACAGAAGTCATATCACCCTCTACGCCCCCTCCTCCTTAGTGTATTGCAATCTGTCAGAAGGACTCAGTGTATCTTATGAACGTCATAGAATGCTTTTGTTTTTAAAGCATTAAAAACACACAACACTAGCAGCGACTTATCAACATTGCAGCTCTAATTACCATGCATTGCCTCAAACTCATGGGAACATAGTTTCTCTCACATTCAGATCATATTTATCTTTCTTTTCTTCATTTTTGTGCCCTGTGCTCCCCGCTTCTCCTTTTATCTCCTCTCATCTCCCACCTTGTGGTTAAACTGATGAGCTGGCTTTTCTGCGCTGGGCTCACTCCGCTGCCTGTCACGGCCCATTTGTAATGGGACACCAGCATTTCCGTATAAACATCTCCCACCCTAACCCAATCAGAGCAGCTAATTGCCAGGGCTCAGGTCCTCCATATGCATTAAGAGATTTAATCGGCCCACCAATTACCTCTGGACCAGTCGACTGCGGCCCATAGTTTAGTAGTAGTCAGCAGCAGTGGTCTCTGTGTGTGTGTGTGTGTGTGTGTGTGTGTGTGTGTGTGTGTGTGTGTGTGTGTGTGTGTGTGTGTGTGTGTGCACCACTATTTAAAAGTTTGAAATCAATGTTTTCATTAATACAAAGACAATTTTCTTGCAGATACGGCACTTTGTAAAAGTCAGAGACCATGCATTATTTGTTTAATTTCCAGTCAAAAAGGTTATTAAGTACAAGTTATTTATTTTTCAGGACCTTTTGTCCCCATCAGATAAGCAGCACTTAAAGCCTTCATCTTTTAGAGAGAGGAGGAAATCAAGCTGCTTCAGGTCTGAAAAAATCCACAGGTGTTTCTGTCCATCCTTCCACTGTGAGAAGACAACTCAGCACTATGGTTCTGAAAGGATGTGTAGCTGTCAAGAAGCCTCACTGAGAAAAGGAGACAGACACATCAAACAAAGAAACTGCTGGTGTTCTCAGAACAATGGACTGACCACCAGTCAGTGATGTTGAGTCCAGACCTCCGCATTACTGAGTGTGTTGAAATTTTTGGATTGTGTGAAGCAGAAATTGCAACCAGCTTCTAAGACTGAACCTTGGAGGTGTGGAAAAACAAGCAGGTCTCCTGAAAAGAAAAGAAGTTGTAATGAAGGCAGATGGTGGACACACTAAAAACTGAAACATTTGACATAAATTCTGTTTTTGGGGCTTCTGTAAATATCTGATACATATGTTTTTTGCTTTTTTTCCCTGATGCTGAAAAATTAATTGAAAAAAAAAAAGAAATTGTACTTAATGGCCATGTTGACCGGAAATTGCATGAAGGGTGATCTCTGACTTTTGCACAGTACTGTACATAATGACAGTACATGTACACTGACCAGCCACTTAAGTGCTCTGAGGGGATCCTGTGGGGGTCCTGACCTTTGAAGAACAGGGTAAAGGGGTCTAACAAAGTATGCAGATGGAACAGAACAACATAGTGCACATATATGGTCAGTGGAGCTGATAAAATTGACAGTGAGTATAGATTAAAGGAGGTGCACTTAATGAAGTGGCTGGTCAGTGTATAATTACAGTGTATTATCATTTAATAACTAAATTTTGTTGAATAAAACACCTAAAAAACACTGGTGAATCTGCATCATATTTTTTTCACTGTATATGAAATGAAAATGATTAAAATGACAAGGTACATCAGTGTTTCGAGTGATATATGTGTACAAATGAAACTTGTTAAATGCTTATCTTGTCTTCTCTCTCTCTCTCACTCGCTCTCTCTCTCAACAGAACAACAGTGAGTTTTGTGGCATACTGCTGCTCCAGCCAGTGCTTGAAGATGTTTGACCTGCAGGGCTGATGAGTGTCTGGCCATTCCCCAGTGTCATCCACCATGGTGCTCTCCTAGTCAGAAGTAATGGGAGAATATTGTGACTCCGAACTGATATTAAAGTACCTGAAAACTAAAGGTTCACTACAGACTAACAAAGAACATTGCTTTTTTCTGAAGGCCGGGGCAGATGGAGAGGTTTGAGCACCCCATCAGAGTATACTAGGCTATTCATCAGCTTCTGGCAGCAGTCAGTATGGACTCTGTTTCTTAGACATTTTTCGAAATGAATGTTGAGAGAATAGCTAAGAATGCTTTTATCTTTTTTAGCTGGCAAAGGCTGGTGCTCTCCAAAATTTTTCATCTTCATGAACATCAAACTTCTAGAAAGAGTAGAGCTGTCATGAAAAGATGTATTTTTGAATAGAGATTTTTACTTGAAGGATTTTTTGGGGCAATTTTAGGTGATGTTTTTCATATATTACTAAAATATTTATTCTTCTGGAGATTTATCTCTGTTTTGGAGATACCTTGTGTGAAACTTTTGAATAGTAGCTTTCATGACAGGTGAACCCCTAAAAATAAATCTAGTTTGTTATTAAAGACAGAATTAAAAATAATTTCATTCTGTTGAATATTCGCTCACAGCGGACCACAGGCAGACTATGAACTTGCGGTGAAATGTCATCTGAATGTAAGTTAAAGGTTATACAGGCTATTTAAAGGAATTCATCAGCGTTACCCAAACTTGTCTCTGTTCACCACATCTATATTGTACCTTCGATTACCACAGAGAATGATTCAGACACGTTTCCTGTTGACTCAAAACTGGCCATAGGGCGGTTGCTTTGAGGGCCCATTTCAGTGAAAACTGAATTTTTTTAAATAAGGCACAGTACAGGGCAGCTGATCAGATCAGAGCAAATAAAAATATGACTGATTTTGGAACATGAATACACACAAATGACATAGGGGGAAAATATATAGGGAAGACAAATATGGCCAACATTTCAACCATATAAGTGATAAAACATGTTTTTCCCTCTAGAAAACAAACTCCATACAAATTATACAGAATTAATAATTGCTGTTGTCGGAACAAAACCTTGTATCTCCAAAATGGTAACGTTACAGGAGAAGGAAAAAATACTTTACTTTTAATGTAAGTCAATGGAACCAGACTTTTTTCCAAGTAATTTTGGGCCGCTTCTTTTGGTCCATTCATCATAAAATTTACATAGAATGTAAAGGACAACAGACATTTTCAAATTATGTCAAAAACAGAAAAACAAAAATGGAGATACGAGGTTTTGTTGCGACAGCAGAAAAATACAAACCAAATAATTCATGAAAGTGTTTTGCATAAACATTTACTAATACAGTTCAGCAACTGCCCATTTGCTTCTATTAGAAATGAGTTTTGAGTCTTCTTTTCTAAGTAGGGTTAAATTGCTCCAGTAATCGATTGAACCCTCCAAATGTGTCAGAGAGAGATGTGTTTGAAGAGATGTTGGCGTATTCCTTTAAGAATACGGGTCCATATCTGCATCCAGAGCTGTTTAACCATTCAGGCTTCTGTGTGGTTTGAATCTGTGACTCAGCACATGTGGTTTGTGTTGTCCATCTTTGTAGCTGAAGCTCTCAATAAGCACGTCCAACATTGCAGATTGTGACCACTGTTAAATGACATTTGTCATGGTTATGTTTCCAGGAATGTCTAGGTATCTGTAGGCATGGGAACATACATAAATAAACCTAACTGTTCTAATATTGAGTATTTGTTTGTTCATATGTTTTAAACCATTGTGGCATCGTAAAACAGTACGGAAAGTTTGGCTGGAAGGAGTGAGGAAAGCAGGAATGAGGGAAAATGGTTTTATTCTTCTCTGTTTGGGGGTTTTTAATCAAGTAAACAGTATAATAGTCTACAGGATGATTTGTCTGCAGTTGATTACTGTGGACACTCATTTCCACATCTTTACTTAGTAAAAGATCAGAAAGATCAGTTGCCAGTGGGACATACTGAAGCAACTGACCATCAGTTTCTATTTTGTTTTTGTTTGTTTCTTATTTTTGTATCTTCCAACCATTTAAGTTGTAGTCTGTTCGCATGTACTAGCTAGATCTCTGCCAAAAAGGTTGTTTATAGTCAGCGCATCATCTGCAGCATTTTTGTCAGGGGTTGTCAGTATCAGTAGACATTACCAGCCAACTGATATATCAGCTGTTATTTATTTGCTGAATATATTGGGGGGAAAAAAGTAAAACCCCTGAAATCACAGTCTCCAGATGTTTCTTAGAGCCAGCTAACTGTCTTCCTGTCCTTGATTTAGGATTTATTTCCCACTTTTCCTTGAAGAACACTTTAAGTTCAGAAATTTAGGATGCACATCATGTTCCATTCCAGATTCCAGACATTTAGTAGAATCCTTCCTTCTCTTTATCCCCATAACATTTCCTGTGCCACTTCCTGCCACACAACCCTGGATCATAATTGATCCACCTCCTTGTTTGCCACTTTTCAAGGTGTTTTTTTCATCAAATGCTGCTCATTTTTTCTTCAGACATTCCTTTGGTGATTTTAACCAAAAAGTTACATTTTTGTTTTATCAGACCACAGAATTTGATTTCAAAATGTATCTGGTTTATCTAAGTCAGGGGTCGGCAACATGCAGCTCTTTTACTGCCCTGTTGCGGCTCCACAGCAGAATTAGATTTTTGAGTAATAAAAATAATCCTCCTTTACAGTAAAATAAAGCTCTGCTGATTGTTCTAACAGTTTTAACTATAAATGGTTTTAAACGTTGGAGTTAATGTATAACTGCTAATTCACCTTGTTACCCTGAAGGTTGGCGTGCAGACTGCTGGTCACCATAGCAATGCTAGTAGCTAGCACCTAACGAAAAGGCGAAGAGTAAGATTTAAGATGAACATCAATAATTTGGAGATGATCTGACTTATTTGCATTTATAATCACTCTAGCTAGTTTCCCGATACGTTTAATCTGCAACGAGAAACTGTCAAACACTAAAAAGTCACAAGGCTGAAGTCAGCTTCTCGCTAGCCAGCTTCTCATTTTTATTTTCCCGTTCCACCTTAAATGGTGCAGTTACATTCTGCGCCCTGGGCACCATTTACGGTGAAGTGGGAAAATTCAAACAAGAAGCTGGCGAATGAGAAACTGACTTCAGCCTCATAAAAAGTCAAACGTTAAGACACATTTTACAAGAAACTCTTCTACTTTGCAGACAAGTTTCTTGCCAGAGAGAAGAGAAAAGCAGCTGTAGCTGAGCTAAAGCTTAAAGCAGAGCAAAGGAACAGGAACATTTGAATGAGAAGCTGGCGAATGAGTAGCTGACTACAGCCTCATAAAAAAATGAACGTTGAGAGACATTTTATAAGAAACTGTTCTACTTTTAAGAAAACGTTTCCTGCTGAGGATGCGAGAAAAGCTGCAATAGCTGAGCTAAAGCTTTAAGCAGAGCAAAGTCTGAGTTTTCGTTTATATTATATTTTTAGCCTATACTAGTACATCAGCATATACTGAGACATATTTACAGCCAAGATGGTAAAATGGACATAAAATGTTGTGACTCCTGAGGTGGTTTGATTTTTGTTAAAAGGACAAAATGGCTCTTCTTAACTTGATCTAAGTGTTGTGTTGCATACTTGTGTTGCATACATAGATGATGATTTGTAGATGATGTTTGTCCAAAAACACACAGTGCATCTTTATTTCATGCCAGCCAAACTTATATTCCTGTATGTCCTTGCCAATGATGTGGCGGTTTTGCTTTCAATATCTGATTATTCTGTGAGCAGAATTACTGACTTGCATTAAGGCCTAATAAGTCAAATAAGTTTTGAGACCTTACAAAAACAGCTTAAGCAAATGAATGGTAATCAGGTATTAATCATGCAGATGTTGTGTTCACTTATTTTCACTTAGACAATCAACAAAACATGTCATTTGACCAGGGCTGCCCCCAAATGTGTAACAGTAAAGGTAATGAAACTGTTATATTGCTGTGACAACTCATGACATCACATGACATCTGCCTTGACATGTTTATTGCCTGGTTCTGTCATTCTTATGTAGCAGGGTTCATGTAAATTATTATCAGTTATTGACTGTGGTAATCAGCTGTATGCTACACAGATTTGTTTGTAAAATGTTGAAATATTCCTTAAAGTGAAACAGATTTCCGTATCATTCTCTTCATCAACAAAACGTTGATTAAAAGAAACTGGTGTGTGCCAAAAATTACAAATCATAATAGCAACAAATATGCATTGTTTTAAGTGTAGCCACAATGAACCACTATTCATTTCAGCAGAACAAAACAAATCTCTGGGACTCCCTGGAAAATTCCTGACAGTTTTGTGAGGGATAATTAATGGGGCTGATTGGAAAAACAGACAGATACCGGTGTTCGGTGTGGTTCCACTCCTGGAAAGCAATGGAACAGTAAATTAGCTCAGACAGCTTAATCTGTTATCATGTCGTCCAATAAATACAGTCTTTGAGCTCGTATTTCAAGCCTGAGATTCACAAAGTAGAGATGTTTTATTGAACTTGTTCAGCTGTTCATCCCCCCAAAGGATTTTGTCTATCCAAGTGTTAACATAATGTGTGAATATTTCAAGATGAATTATAGAGGATGATCTATGAACATCAGATTGCATAATGGATAAAAAAGAAACATTCCCAGTCTGGTCATTTCATCAGAGTATTCCGCAATACTGGTTTAATCATAATGTAGAGGCTGATGGGCTGAAAATACACTAAAGAAAATCTGTAAGAAGCCTGGCAGCAAAGTTGCCCGTTGAAGACTGTTATCAGTTATAATGTAATTATATTAGATATTACAGTTATAGTGTAAATGTAATTATAGAATTTGACAATTTTTATCCAGTTTTCATTTTAGTCATGGACAATTACCATACTTTAATTAAGACTAGAGGCTCACTCTCAATGCTGCTATCATATGATCACAGATGGCATTGCTGTTGTTTTAATGATACAGACTGTTATTTCACTGCAGATTGACATTAATATGAGCAGGTATTGCTGTGAACTGTCAATCATATGTGATGTTGAAAATGGTAAAAAGTGGTAAATCTGAAAATCTGATTTCTTTAGCTATTATTTGCCTTGTAATGCCCTGCACCATGATTGGCAAAAAAAATAAAAACGATGTCTCAGATATCGGCGTATTTGTAACCATTTCATGCCATAGCTTCAGACATCTGCTTCCTATCACCACCACTGTGAACAATTCTGGCTCTGTAAGTGTCTCTAGAACAGAGCATTTCACACCAAACCTCTCTGAATGACTCTGTTTACTTTGGATAATGTTTTGTTGATTTTCTAGGTGAAAATAAGTTACACACCTCTGTACATTATAATGCACAAGTACTGTTTTTTTGCAGAATTGAACATATATAAACTCTTAACAGATTATCAGTAACACATCAACAACATATCAGTGAAGTAGCAGTAATGAAGCATCTGAATACATTGAAGTAAATATCTTCTAGATGTTCTGTTGATACATTACATACATTAAGTAGATGTCTTGTTAATATGTTACATCCATTATGCAAAACCTAACCTTACCCAACCTTACCAAAACCTAAACCTAATCCTGGCCCTAATCCTCACCCTAATCTTAACCTCAACCCAAAACCTAATCCTAAACCTCAACCCAAAACCTCAACCCTAACCCTAAACCTCAACCCAAAACCTAACCCTAACCCTCATATGTTTTTGACGTGTTACTGAGATCCAGTTGAGTGTTTGTTTCATTTAAAAGGACCATTCAAAAAGTGTCACCCAAATCTGCAGAAAAATGGCGTATTTAAGTTTGCTCTTTGTACAGGATGTGTTCACTTATTTACACTTAGAAAATCAACATATCATTTGACCAGGGGTGTTCAAACTTCTGCATACGACTAAGTTTTAATAGCAGTGAATGTCTTTTTATTCTCTATCTAAAGCATCTCGACTTACAGCTGCACAATACATATTATTTTTGGTTAAAATTGTAAAAAGTAGCATGACAGGAGGAAAAAAGCGTGCTAAAATATGGTGCGAGTGCGCTGATGGGAGTCTGTAAAGCCTGCAATGATAACATAAAAGTCAGAGGTGTCGGGTCAGGAGTTTTTCAGACCGCGTCGTACGGGCTTTAAAGAAGGTCTGTCTCAATGTTTAGGTCTCAAATGCAAAATCAACATTGTACTGATAAAGATATGATGACAACAGTAGATGGTTTATTCAAATCCTCAGAAGACACGTCTTTCACCAAGTTCGACTGAGTTCTCTTTGAATGCTCTTTCAAAGCACTCACAATCATCAGATTCATCCACTCAGGGAAGGGGTCAGAAACACAACCCATTTTACAAAGCGTTCTTATGTGTGTGTTGTGTGTATTTACACATTTCCACCACAGAGGTCTCCAAATTCCGCAAAACGTACATAGTGTAGCTTTAAGTCTATCTCTCTCCCTCTGTTTTTCAGACCCAATGTCTACTAATATTCTACTATTGGAATCTGATATTTTACCTGAAAACTAATGTCAATTCAGTGGTACAATATCTTCAATAAAAAGAGGTTCAGATTCAGACAAGTGTTATTTAACAAGAGGTTATCTCTTTGGCTGATGTCATCTGTGATTATATTAGTCATATGTCACAAATAAATATATTCAGTGGCACATTTTTGGTACGAGGATGCCTGCAGCTGGAAATAAGCCTCTCCAAACCCTTTTCTTTCACACTGTGTAGCAAAACACCTCGGAGAAAAAAGGAGCTGCTGCGGTGTAGACGAAGTGAGAAAACAAGCTAATGGCTTTGAGTGAAGCTTAAAAAGAAGCTTTAAACCAGCAAAAGTCAGTCTAACCATGAACCTTTAAGCTAAAAAGGGTGCCCAATGAGACTGTTATTGAATTAACATTTTAGTAACTTTGTCAGTCAACATTTATCAGTAAATCTTTTATTTTATGTTATTTTTTTTTTAAGTCTTCATAATTTAATCATCAAGCACGAAACTTGCAGAGTCAGCATTGCTCACAGTGGTGGTGATAGGAACCAGACGTCTGAGGACTTTAATGTCTCTAAAGGCTCCCTCACAGAAAATTACTACATCGAATGTGAATGTGAATATGTTGTGTCTGATCCACTCACACCAGCGCAACACACTTACACGCCACCATCACGTTAGAGTCACTGCAGCGCTGAGAATGACCCACCACCCAAATAATACCTGCTCTGTGGTGGTCCTGTGGGGGTCCTGAAAGGGGATCAACAAAGTATGCAGATAAATAGGCAGACTACAGTCTGTAATTGTAGAACTACACCTGGTAAGAGGAGCTGATAAATGGACAATGAATGTAGAAACAAGAAGGTGTAACAAGGAAAGCTGGTCAGTGTATATGCCCTACACACAGGTCATAGGAAATAATGACCTCTACAACCAAACAGTAAGATTTGAGATTAACCCACATTGTTCTAACGTAACGTAGGGTTTATTAATGTAGTAATTACTTTAATTAGATGTATTAGAGCAAGAAAAACACTCAAACGTTCCGCGTGTGACAGAGAACCGGGGGTTAGCGGGACTCCCTCCGAGCTCGTGTCCGCCCCTCGAATGAGTTAGCTGGGCTGAGAGGGAGGAGTCGCGGGGCTGGAGCTGCTGCCTCAGGATTACTACACCGCTTTACACTAAACAAGTCGAGGACGGCGGAGGATATGTTTGCCTTTTATTTCGATTTTAGCCGCTGAATGTGCTCATTTTTCTCTCAGAAAGAGGGTAAGTTAGTAGGAAGGGTGTCCGGACGGTACGAAGCTGAAGTCAGCTGCTTATTTGCCAGCTTCTTGTTCGAATTGTCCCGTTCCACCTTAAATGGTGCAGCAGTTACATTGGAACTGCTGCACTATTTAAGGTGGAACGGAAAAATTCGATTAAGAAGCTGGCGAATAGGAAGCCAACTTAAGCCTCGTCAGGGCTGATAGCGACGGTGTTGTAGTAGTGCTGCTTGCTAGTTTGAGACAATTGGGTAGTTAACGGTTTTCCGTTTTCTTTTTTTGGTTCATAGCCGTGTCAAAGTTTACATATATTTAATAATTCCGATTTAGAGTGTGTGTTGAACCAGTAAGCGGATTGTTGTGTACTGGTTTTACCTCAAATGCTCTGCTGAAAGCGGTTTGTGGACAGCCTGAGAGAATCCCAGGAGTATTGACAAAGTACAGAGATGTTTATAACCATATTAAAGTGCTGTGTTATCCAGCTTAGCTTCATACAAAACTATTCAAAAGGATTTAAAATCAATTTAAATCAAAAGGAAGCATAAGTGCAGCTTCATTCTACCATTATTCTCTTCACAGCATTCATTTTTATGTATTTGTATATTAATAGTATTGTACTTTTACATAAATGTCTGCTTGATGTATTTGCAGCAGCTTGTTTTGAATGATGATTGCTTTGAGCTTGCTGTGAATGATTACTCTGTGCAAATGTAACAAGCCTTTTCTGCTTTTGGATATTTATCATGACCTGTCAGTTGGTCTGTTCTTGCACAGATCTGACCACTTAACCCTATATGCTCTGTAAAAATCACAGTATTGGTCAGGTAAAGCGCCCATGTCCTTATATTTTGTCCACTTATAACATTTGTCTGTCTTTTGTGAAGCAAAACCAGTCATCATTTTTATCAAATTATTGTTATCACAACCTGTCTTTATCCTTTAGGCAGTATTGTTGCTGTGCCTTTTATAAAAATATTTTTATGTAAATAATCTCTGTTGTGATTGGCTGCCTCATTCAAAAAGCAAGGAGTGATGAAACACTTCTTATAACTTCAGCATAAATGGGCGGAGCTAAACTGCTGTAGGCCAGGTGTGTCAAACTCAGCCACTAAAAGGGCCATATTACAAAATCTCAGCAAACCTGTGGGCCAGATAACACCACTGTTTCTGTTTCTTTTTAATTAACAGTTTACAATGACCCGAACTGGCCATTGTTTATTCAAAATGCGCCAAATTGTCAGCAGCAAACTATAGACACTTGAAGTAGACCTTGAAATATTACACAAATACATGAAATATTCAAAATTTGAATGTCCCCAGGAGCTCGGTCTTTTAAACCTGCCTCTTTGCTTGAACTACACACCTGACATCTTTTCTTTGCTTTAATTCTTGGGCTCCGTTTCTAAACTGTGAGGCTAATGTTAGGTGTTTATGTTGGTTGAACTGCAGGTGAAATGCATCTAGTGTGTTTGGTGATATGACTGGTGTAGAACTGAGGTGTAACCGCTGTCCCATAGATTGTTATTGGCATGCCGGGGACTGTAGTGCAGTGCATTGTGAAATGGGCTAATATTAATGGAAAATTAAAAGACTTTGGCCCGTGGGCCTTGTGTTTGACACATGGGCTGCAGCCTGAATAGGCAGATATGTATAAATGTGCTGGTATTTATAACATCACAAAAGCAAATAATTAAAAAAAAAATAATTTTCCATATATGGACTTTACGGTCAAGGGAACAGTGCGTTTTTATGTGCATGAAACTTTTTTCCATGATATGGGCCCTTTAAACCCAAGCCTTCAACCTCATCACAGGACACTGCCTGTGTAGCCTCTTTGGCACATTAATGATGCGGTTATATCTGGCTCAACCATAAACCAAAATAGCTCAACAGGGCCTTTTTTTGCAGCCACACGGCTTGAAAATAGCACGCACACTGAGTTTATGTACATTCTCCGGCTATTTCTGGTGCTCTCTGAGGTCAGTAGTGGTTGGGCTATTACATTAGGGGCAGAATCTAACGCCGTGCTCCAGATTTCGAGATGTGGACGATTTGATTAGGCTGAGTGATGCCTGCTCAGACAAATCACATGCATCACTGTGCATATGGCAAATCATGAGGCAGCACATTTAACATAAGTGTATTACTGCGTGCTGAGCTCTGATGCACTTGTACTCATTCAGTATAGGCTGTGATGCATTGAGACAGGTACATTAAGATACGTGGACATTAATATGTGGTCATTCAATCCGTATATTGTGTTTTGGAAAAGGAAGCAGGTGGTGGGGGCTTTAATGCCTTGGGTTTGAGGTTACGCTGTGCTTGTTGGCGCCGTAGTTGGCCACAGTACTTTCTTATATCTGAAACACTGCACCCTTTTTTCTCTTTTTCCTCGTAGTGATATGGCATAGCAAGGGGAGAGTGGATGGTAATTCAAGTCTCCATTTGAGAAGACCAATGTCATGTCCTTGAAATGTGGTTTCTCTCTCTCTCTCACTCGCTCTCTCTCTCCCCATTCTCCTCAAGATTTGTTTCAGGAGGAGCAGAAGGAGCCTAACTAGCCTACTTCACGCTCAGAGCTGAAGAGATTTGGAGCTCAGGACTTTCTAATCTGGAGGACCACTCTGCTTTCCTGTCCTGGTAAGACTATGAAATGGCTGTTACTACTGACCAACACTATTACACTGCCTGTCTTATCTAATATGAATCTTTCTGTAAGATGTGCGTCCTGTAAACATCACTTTTAAAATAGTGTGGACTAATTTGACTCATTTTTCACTATTATTCCTTGAAAACTTGCTTATATAATAATGACTGCAAACCACCCTGCCAGACTGGTTTCATACTCATTGTGCTCAAAATGTTACCATCTGTTAGGAATTAATTCTCAGTCTGGTGATTCTTTATACTTTTTCTTTTTTAAAACATCTGCAGAGCTCATTATTCTGTTATTGTTGCTCTAATAAACTGGGCAAGTTAGCTTCACATAGAATAGGAATCTGATCCTAAAGATCACACTGCATTTTCAAGTCTAACTTTCCTGTTTCTGTTTACTATTACTGTTTAAATCTTTCACACAGTAGAAATAGTTGGCAATAAATAGGTTTTTTGTAAGTATTTTGTTGCAGTTGCGCAAAAAACTTGTAGCTCTGTTTGCCAATTTTTTCATGTTTTTTCATAATTTGAAAAGTCCATTTACTCTTTGCCTTATATTAAAATTGCATGATGAATGGACCAATAAAAATAGTCCAAAATTACTTGGAAAATAATCTTGTTACATTAACTCACATTACAAGTTAATAATGTTTTGTCTTCTCTGTTTAAGTTCCAATTTTGGAGGTATGAGTGTTTTTTTTCAGACAGCAATAATTTATTATTGTATATCCTGCACTGTATATTTTAAGTATATTAGCTAGCAGTGTTAACCATTATATCATTTAATTACTGTACACACTGTCATACATATTATGTGTATTAGCCAAAATTATTAGCCATTTATTACTATATATGGTCGTGTACAGTACTGTGTAAAAGTCAGAAACCTTTTTATTGATTTTATTTCCAGTCAAAACTGCCATTAAATACAGGTTATTCATTTTTCAGTGTCAGTAAAAAAAACAACATATATTTAACAGAAAACCTTAACAACTAAATATAATTTCAGTTTTCTCAGTATTTGATGTGTCAACACTTTGTCTTTTTATAGCTCTTTCAGGAGACTCATTTTCGGTTTTTCAAAGAAATCTGCAGGGATATTTTTCACACCTCCAAAGTTCAGTCTTAGATGTTGGTTGCATTTTCTGCTTTCCATAATCCAAGTAATCCCAATTACAAATTTAGACTCGCCAGTCCGTAAAACTGCAGGACAGTTTTGGTCTTTGAGTGCAAATGTTCTTTTTTGTCTATTTCCATTTCTCAGTAAGGGCTCCTTCACAGCTACACATCCTTTCAGAGCCATGTTGAGTTTCTTCTCACAGTAAAAGAATGGACAGAAACACCTGGTCACCAATCTGATGGGGACAGTTTTGGTGTCTACCAGGTCTTGTAGGTGGTTGTTAGGAGACCATTTTCTCTGTAGTTTTAAATCATTTTTTGAGCTCTAGTTTTGGAAACTCCTGATTTTTCATTTGACTTTTTCCTTCTTTATGCAACTTGATTGTCTTGTATCTGATCTCCTCATAAATTTTATTGTGAAATATTGACTTGTACTTAATGGCTGTTTTGACTGGAACACGAGCAAAGGGAGGGTGGTCTTTGACCTTTGCACAGTGAAGTGTGTGTGTGTGTATATTTTAGGTATACTAAACTAAGTATTAGCTGTTGTAAAAGTTATTACCATCTATAGTGGAGTTTATATTTTAATCATATTAGCCACAAGTAACCCAAAGACGCTTAAACTGAGTGTCGTGGTTAGCGCCGTTGCGTGTAAGTGTGAATGAGAGAATGAATGTAGTCTGCTGCCAAACCCAAGTGTCTCTGAGCAGTGCTGTCGTACGATTTGATCTTCACTGGACTCACTTCTCCCTAGCTGTGGTTTTTGGAGTTGGTTCAGCTCTGAGCTGAAAGCTTATCCTTGTGGGGTCTCCCTCTAGTCTCATCCCACCTCTCCAGCTCCAAAAACCAAAAACCTCTGGCTGCCTCCTGTCTGACCACCAGGCCGCACGTTTGATGCTAAATAGGTTCCCCGCGATTCAGAAATTACACTCAATAAATACAGAAATCAAATAAAATTGTCTGCAAATATTAGCTCCTCAATCTGCCTTCCTGTAGTCGCATGAAGCTGGCTTTTGTGGATTGTAAATAGAAACCTCTGCGCCTGCCAAATCAAACTGTGTATTAGAACTGGACGGCAACACGAGTGCGCTTTACTGACCTTACTGTTAAGATCCAGCGCTGGCGTCTAAACCAGAGGGATCGAGGGTTTGGACCTGTGCCCTGGCAAAGGCCTTCAAACCGCTTTACACTTTATTGCTAGTGAGCACCGCCTGGCTCACGCTTTGTACAACTTAAAGAGCATGAAAGGGGTCTGAACCTGAGCAGCCTTAGGTGTTATCATGCGGGCTTTGAGAAAATCAGTGCTGAAATAAGGAGCCAAAACTACAAAATAAGTGATGGAAATAAGTAATAAATCATCTAATTCTACTTAAATGTTTGATCTGAAATGTACTCATGCTTTAGATAACATCTTTAAACTTGTATGACATGTAATAAACATATTGGAGTGAATGGCTGTGTTCATGGGAAACCTACTGTAGCTAAATTTCTCTCTCTTGTGGCTGAAATGAAAAATTTGATTACCGCTTTATCTGATGTAAACATGCTTACTCGCCTCTTACAGCGGTGCCCAGTAGTCTCTAGAGTGGGTGTAATGAAAAATTACTATTGAATAGTTGATGTTGTCGCAAGTTGATGTGAGAATCTCACAGGCTCAACTTCTCACAGTAGAACTTTATATTAGGCAGTAGCCAAAGGTTTATATGAAGATGTAACTAAAATTGACAGTTTTGTTGTGTGTGTGTATATATATAATGTTATGTGTGTGTATGTGTGTATACACATATATCATTGCTGTCCAAAGAAAAACAAGCATCTCCAAAAAAATGGTTACTTTACAGGAGAGGGCAAAAACACTTACCTTTCAGTGTAAGTTAAAGAGTAATGTATTCCAAGCATTTTTATTGGTCCATTCATCATGAAATTTTTACACAACACAAAGGACAGCTGGTGTGTTGAAATGATATAGAAGAATGAAAATCAGCAAAAATGGAGAAAAACTAAACAATATGTAAATAAACCAACACTAACACCAACACTAGCTATTTTGTCTCATTAAGAGAATTATATCACAGTTTCATGGTATTATCGGTGTAACAGCACAGACCCTCGTAAACATTCCAGTAACTTGGAGAAGAGACAGTAGACAGTAAAGAGACAGTCTGGCCTAAAACAAGCATTTTATGTTATTTGTAATATTGTATCACTCAGCCTGATTGGTTTAAAGAAAACATTCACAACTTTGTATCTTTTTTTTTTGTTTTCATTCATCATATGCTCTCTCACTACAATACCCAGCATGCACTATGCAAGTACATCGTGCTGCCACTGAGAACCGACCCACTGCGATAAAGGATATCGGCCACTAGCATAGCCATTGATTTATAAGCTAATAAATATAGATGTGATATTTGACTTCCTAGCAGTGCAGTTAGATATCTGGCTTTATTCTGCACTATTTAGCTAGCAAAAAAGCAGTTATTATTTTTCAATAGTTCTTTCCACCTTTAAGATACAAATTAGAATGTATGGGGAGCTTCCTAGTTCTTAAACTACAGTAACAACGTGATGCTGTCAGAAGAGGTTGGTGTAGCATAGCATGCCCATTAGCTGCACCATTATGAGTCCTTGGACAAGACTCCTAATGCTACTTAAAAGCATGTGCCAAATACATAAACGTAAAAAAGTTGACATATTTAGTTTAAACTGACATGCGCAGGAGATTAGTCTTATGTACACTGTATTGTGGCATGCAGTTATAGTTACTATAACTACAAATGGGCGATATGGCAAAAACATAATATGACAATACTTCAAGAAATTTTCACAATATTTATTTTTTGTGACATCTGCTAAGTTGGAACAGACAAAAAAAGAGCCAGTGGTTCGACATTTAAAAAAAACAGCAAAGGGTGTCAATGCAATCAATCATTTTTATTCATTGTTTCACGCACTGTGTTGGACTAATTTTAATTAAACAGGACTTATTATGTTCTCTTTGTAATGAAACATGCAGTTGGTCAGTGTTATTTAAGTACTGGTGAACAAGCTCAGAAAAGTATTGTGACATACTGTGGCTTAATTTATCACAATAACAATAAATATCATCACATTGCACAGCATTTACTATACTTACAGTGTACTTATGACTGTATGCATATGGTGCGTCCAAACGTGTTGTGTTTAGCTAGACTTGAGAGGAAGACGTTACACTATGGAAAGAATTTGGCTAGCTTCAACCAAAAAAGATCACTTAATTAATTTCTATAGATACTGTATGTGATAAGCATGTGGTAACATTTTGGCTTGTTGAGGTGACATTGGGCCTCATTCACCAACCGTTCTTAAGAGGAAATTTCTTCTTAAAACCCAGTTATGCAGTTTTTACAAAGATTCTGACATTCACCAGTGTTTTCTTATTGGGAATTTGTTCTTAGGTAAGAACCGAATATACACACACTCAAGAGCACAAAGGTGTGAACAGTTCTGTGGTTTAATAAACGTCATGAATCTGACATAGACTTTTTCTTAGGACCTTTCTCAAGAACAGATTTAAAGAAAAACTTAGGAAGATATTGATGAATGAAGCCCATTGACAACAGAAAAATATCATTTCTAACTTCGGCTATTGTGGTTAGGACAACTGCAGACTTCTCAGTCATGTCCAAGGCCCTTGTGTCCGTTGCATGTTAAGGCCCTCGTAACCTGACTATGGCATGAGTTGCACGTATATTTGTTGGCTGTTTTATCTATTACAGCTAGTAGTCACTGACTAAAATACCCAGTGGGTCGTTAGGCTAAACACTGGAACTTAAATATGGTAAAGTGTGATAAACTTTTATATTGTCTAACATTTAAAAGCATTT